GAATCAATTAATTTTTTTATTTGAAATAAATTTTGTTGTTTATAATACTTTTATAATTTTATGTTGTGGATGATTATCAATGACGTCCCTTACTTTAAGTATTGGTTTTATTAATATCTATAAATTAATTAATCTAATGTTTTAAACATATTATGGCTGTTAAGTATTAAAATACATTTAATTTTGCATTTGTTTTAAAAAATATTTTATTATGAATGATTATTTAAATAATTTCAATTCTATGCGTGATGTAATCACTCCCTGATTGGTTACTGATATTTGTGCATTACCGCGCCATTTAAAATTTATTATTCATCTCTTCGAATTCCTCAGATTTCAAATGGTATGGATATGTCCATTTCGAAGATGAATGTTGTTATTGGTAATTACCAAGAATTATTGGTATCGAAATAAAAAAAAAATTGCCCTTTGAGACCTTATTGTGGCCAACCTGTCTTTCCTAATCAAAGATTTATTTACAAATTGTTAATAGCGTCAGAGGAAATTTATTTTAAATTTTTGGAGAAAACCTCGCTAATTGCTTCTTCAATTAAGTGCGAGAGATGTCAATGACAGATGAAGATCGTTTAAAGACTTTTTTTTTTTGTGGTACTTATCAATATACGACGGGTAAAATACTTTAAAAAACTGTAAGTACATAATTTTCTTTTACTTTATAATTGTATACTTCAATTTTTATTAAAAAATTAATACAATATTGCCCCATATGCTTTAATGGTAAATAATTAAATCCTATAAAACTTATTTTAAACTATTTAAGCAATATTTGAATTCTTTTAAACGTTGGTATGATGTTTTTAATTCGATATTTCAATTTAAGTAATATTTTAATCCAATTAAATTTGGGGCAATGTTTTTATCGCGTGTTTTATTTTATTATATGAAAGTAATAACTTAACCTTACTTTAGCATTTTATACTCTTAGTAAATGTATTTATTTACATTTGCCAGCCATCTTAAAAAAACAACGTTTTCAACAAAAAATTAATCTATTATTTTTAACGATATTTATTTATTTTTTTTAAAGTTTCCAATACTTTACTATATGCGTAAAATATGTAAAAACAGCATTTTTCAAGATGACTGACGACTGTAAAAACCGCGCCAACAATTGCGCCAATGTAAATCGCCAAAAATCCGTGCAACCGTCTACCAAAGTAGCACTGAAAAGAGTATTTTATTCTGTTCTTACGTACAGATATCACGCAAAAATATCGTTAAATTGCATTCGATAGCGGTCAAAATGGATATTTTCGTTGAAATATGCTGCCTGAAACTTTTCGCGATTACAATATTTCCTTTTTTACTTCATGCAAGGAAGTAAAAATGAAGATTTAATCTACCTTCGCCTCCTATTTCCTATTCATTATGGATCAACACTTCTACGCCATCAAAATTCCTGTTGGTCATTACTTCTCTGTGTGTGTGTGTTTAATTACGGCAAAGCACACTAGGGCTATCTGCCTAAGGGGAGGGATGCCTTTCGTGGAGGACTTTCTAAGGGAAACTGGCTCGTATACACGTTACACATGGGGAAACCACGAAAACACCCATGCAGCCAGCCCGTTCGCGGGATTCGAACCTCGGACCGAACTACCAGTGTTCAGCGACTTTACCGCTCGGCCGCTGGTGGGCTCATTACTTCTGAGTTTGATTTAATCACATATATACATATATATATAAATGCATACATATATATGTAAGATAAAAATATATGAATCAAAATTATAGATTAAACTATAAACATTAATTCTTCCTCTCTATTCTAAAATCGTAATAACTTCTCTGCATTGCGTCATTTCTAGATCACTCTATGGCCCGCGCAACTCTGATGACGTAATAATTAAGAACTGAAACTGACCTTGTAAACCAAAACTTTTCTCTTCGCGTGCTTCCATCTTCATAAACGACGCACTTCAGCTTTTGCTTCTACTGTGCTAAGATGTAATTCGCTGGCTTGCTTTCTATCCCAACAATATCAAAATGTAAATCATCTGTGGAAAGGCCGACTAGAGTGCCAAGTGATTGTGGCCACAATATCATTGGAAATAAAAATGGAATTAAAATCGCTTTACTGCCAAGTTTATTTACGAAAGTCAACACATTAGCTTACGACGCAATCAGATTACTTCCTCTTCAATATAGGATAACTACGCATCTACAGTGTTCCGTCCTTCATTTCCTTGTGCTTTTATTATGACATTAAAGCCGGTAAGGATAGTTTCCTGCAGCCTGAAACCTCAATGGAAAATTTAATTCAGCTCTTCAAATCATCGTTTTGTGATAAATCCAAGATAATGTGAAAGAAGTGAATCATCAAGTTTGTTTTTTCAGTGTTTATAAAATAACAGATCATTCTTCTGTTATGGTGTTTTGCAAGTGCTTAAAAAAATAACCACGCGTAGTGTTTACAGATTGAAAGTAATCTCCCATAAATTGAGAAGTTCGAATGCCTAGTGAAAAGGAATATTGAATTTGCTTCGCCGATCTCTACAATATTTAGAAAAAAGTGCTTTAAATCATCAGTGAATTACCGTTTAGGAATTCAGCATTACAGCGGGTCAAGGTCGATCCGAGTTAGTGTTTGCAAGTATGTGTGACAGAAAATTATTGCACTCCGCTTTTTCAACAGCTCAAAAATTGTTACATTCGTGTGACTCTAACTCAGGAACTAAATCATTTAATATGTTGCGATTCTATAGTTTTGATTTCAACTTTGGTTAAAATTCCTGTAATTTGTTTTGAGAAAATCTGAAATTCTTGTTCATTAATTTTTCTAATTTTTCATAATTATGTGTGAGCAAATTAAGTAACGAATTTTAAGCTATTTAAATTATTCATAGGGAAGGATTAGATAAGTTTTATGTTTTTTGAAATTTTGTTGAGAATTTTGAATACGAATTTTATAATTATTCTAAAAATAAAGATGTTAAAAAATAAAAATTATTACAGATACGTAATATGAAATTATGATAAATGCCATGTTAAATTTATGGGTGATTGTATGTTAAGTATAGTGTATGTCGAGGAGTATTGGTTCCTTCAAGGCCTGTTATTACTCGGACAGTTGTTCCTTTTACCCTTTCATGCAAGATAATGTTGGAGGCCCTCATTTCATGAGTGTTTGTAATTTTTTTATATTATTCTATTTTTTATTATGGAATGTATTAGTGCAGTTCTCAAGGCCAGTTACCTTAATGCAAGGAACGGAGGCCTTTTCAATAACTGTCTAGGCACGCTGGGCCACCAGTGCAGAGGACACACTAGTTAGCTCAGAGGACAGCCCTCTTGATGGATATGTTTGTTTAGAAGTATTGCGAGGCTTCCAGTTGGTAAAATCAGGAATTGTAAATGAAAGATGATAACGGTGAAACCATAAATTCTGAAATCTTAATCCTATTATTAATCATGTTAATTATAATTTATCAATATGAAATTAATATCATACATATTTATGTGCATTACATTAATTATAAGTATGATTATGTAAAAGTTTATTTTGTGATATTCTGCGATACAAGAACTTTCCCTGAAGAATTATGATTATGTGAACTCTCAAACAAAAAGACTTTTGGACTGAAATGTTGAAAAATTCAATAGGACTCTAAAAATTAAGAATCTATTTAAAAAAATATTATAAATAATACTTTACAGGATCAAATTTTATTATTTATTTATATTTTTTTAATTTGCTTGTGCTTAACTCTTTTCTTTAAAAAGGCTTCTCTATCGCTACGGCCTTTTTCTTTTGAAGGGGGGAAGGGAATATTAAGATAATATATGAATCAAAATTATAGATTAAACTATAAACATTAATTCTTCCTCTTTATTCTAAAATCGTAATAACGTATCTGCATTGCGTCATTCAAATTAATCATGCGATCTTACGCAACCGTTAATACCAGACACCTCTTGACAACCAATCACCGAACTGTAAACCAAAACTTTTCTCTTCGCGTGCTTCCATCTTTCATAACTACGCACTTCAGCTTTTGCCCTCTACTCTGCTATGATGTAATTTCGCTGGCTTGCTTTCTATCTCAACAATATCAAAATGTAAATTCTGTGGAAAGGCACGACTAGAGTGCCAAGTGATTGTGGCCACAAATATTAATTGGAAATAAAATGGAATTAAAAAAACTGCTCGACTGCCAATTCTTTAGATGTTACCAAGTTAGCATTACTAGCATACTACGCAATCAAAATCTTCTTCAATATGGGTCTAATCATGCATCTACAGTGTTCCGTCATTTCCTTTGCTTTTATTATTACATATACATTTTTGAATATTGTACCGATAACAAAAAGCGTACCCAAAAAGTTGTGACAACAAACATCGTCTGTTGAAACCTTTCAACAAAACTTTGAAATGCCCGAATTAATATGTGAGTTATTGATCAGCACTTCATGAATAAATTATTTTATTAACGTATATTTTAATGATATTTATTTTGTAACAAGCAAAACGTAAAATAAAGAAAATATAATATATTATAAAAATATTTGGAGTCTATGTTTCGATACTTAGTACAAGACCTAAAAAATTAAAAAAAAAAAAAAAAAAAACTAGTGTCCGAAACAAATGTGAACCACTGTAGTATTGTACCTATAGTTTTAAAATATTTTGCATACTAACAAACCTAGGCACTTAAGTACTAACCTAAAACATGTCTCAAGAACTGAAATTGCCTAAGTACCACTGAAAAGTCCATTGCAATCGAAGAAGACTACTTTGAAGAGGCAATACATACTGACCTATAACTTGAAATCTTGTGTTTTATGAAGTCTCGATACATTTTGATCTCAATTATACTCATAATTCTTTTCGAAAAAACATAAAACATTTTCAATCCTAGTTTGTTATTTTTAAAATTCTTTTCTCGGAAATCGTAAGCATTAAATTCATCAGGTTTTGTATGATGCATATTCATCCTTAAAGGACAACATTAAAATTTTTTTAATATGTATAAACTTCTCAGATTTCTATGCAAAGTTCGAGAAACTACGACACCTCGTCGAAGACAGACTGGAAATACCACTTGAAAGATGGATACAAATAAAAGAGGATGAAAAAAATTTTCCTGTAGAGCTTGATAAACTCAACAGTGAATCAGAAAATATTCACGAAGAAGTTGAAATAGCTACACATCTTGGAGATCAAATTGTGAGTTATTTTAATAATTTTAATCAAATATATTATGCTTACCAGGAGAATATACTAAGTGTTAAAATCCCTCGCTTGTTGAATTCTCGTAATGCTCTTCCTATTGCATTTTAAACCATTTTTTTTCTTTTATGTTTTTTTCTTTTATTTTTTCTCTCTTGAAAATAAATGCGCGTGGATTAAACATATACTGAAAGAAGAAAATTAATTTCAAAAGACGCTTTTTAAAGAAAATAGGTGTTTATGAAGCAAGAAATGTGAATCGAATTAAAGATTTTACAATTGTTAGATGGGCATATTAACCATCTACATCACGAGAGCTTGCATGAAAGATTAGAATAGTTACTTACATTCTCCTTCATATAAAGGGGGAATGGGGAGAGGTACAAAACTCAGTTAATTACTCCCTGGAGGTCACTAGCTATATTTTAGTTCGAATCACGTATCTTCCAGCAGAAAACCAAACACTAACACCACAAGAGCATGCGTGGGCTAATACGATAATTCTTTACATTTAGGCTGCAGAATTTTCTGGTTTAAGGCAAAACGTAATGAGGAGAATATATTATTGTATATAACTACTTTTATAATTTTGTCAATGTTAAAGTCTGTGCTTTTTGTGGAATGGCAAACAACCAGACAATTCCAATTTGTTTACAGTGTGCTCTGCTTAATTAAAACAATAAAATAGTGGATCTTAATCCCGTTAGTCACGTTTATAAAAAAAATTCTTCGAATAGGGTGAAACAGGTCTGAGGGTAGTTTGATGACTGAGGATAGTTTTGAACATGTGGCACAGGTAATAGCCCTTTTGGGCTAACGCCCCTTTGTGCTAAATAAATGTTACTATTTTACAAGAAAAACTTCTTGTTTGCGAATTTTGTAATTTTTACAAAGGCAACATAAATTAAGCCAGTATTTGAATTTAGTTAGGGAGAAGGTTAAATTTATTCTGTGTACAAAAATTTTTGATTCAGTGACACGGATTTCATGACGATTTTTTAAGGTATACGATAAAATATTTTTATGTTACTATATAAGTATTGCATTTTTTATAACAATATCATTAAAAATTAAACATTTTTATTTTTTTCCACTATGTTTTCAAACATCCTTACCTTCGTTTTGGTAATTATTTTTCAATATATCATTATTCTGGTATTTAAACTAGCTAATAACTGTTATAAAGCACAGTTTTCGAAATTATATTTTAGCAAAAGCCAAGAAAATGCTGTAATTATGGTAGGAGGCCTCTTTTATATATCTTCGAATTTTTTTATTCTTATGAAGTTTGTAGGTAGGAACAAGACAATTCAATTACTCGAATTTTCCTATAAGATGGTTATGAACCTATTCATTAAAGCCTGATATTTGCATTTCCACTATATAACGTTATTTATACAATTTGTAAATTAATGAAGTAAATGATATTTGATACGAAATTTACAGCCTCCGGAGATGAAAGATGAAATCGACAGAGAACGTAAATTGTCATCTGCTTCTGAAGATTCCAGCTATCAACATCCATTTTTGGTGAGGTAAGGGCATAAAATTTCTGACCTGCATTTTCTAATGAAGTGCATTTATGTTCGAGTATTATAAATCGAGTTACTCTTTTACCTCTGTTGAAATAATCCGTGATCAGTTGAAATAAAGTGGAAAAAAAATCTCAAATTCTTTATGGAGTTTTATGAAGTGAAACTAAGTCCTATAAACGAAACCGGAGGCACAGTGCAAAATCTTATGCGACGGCCTTCTTTAATTCGTTCAAGGAATATGCAGTCTGTACACCCCTAGAAAAGATTTAACCTCGCCTGCATCACTTGGTGCTGGACGATCCCCAACATCTTACTTCAGGTAAACCAGGACTAGCGGCGCATGCTCTGTAAGAATGGAATTCTGATTCGCAACTTTAGATGAGTTTTCTGTGTCTCTTCCAGCAATGAGATTCTGCAGTCGCACTTTCCTAACAGGCGGCGCCCACCAATGGCCAAGCTGAACACTGGTTGTTCCAACTCGGGCTCGATTCCAGGTGAGTGGCTGGCAGCATGAGTGTTTTCGTGGTTTTCCTTACGTGTAACGTGTATACGAGCCAACTTCCCTTACAAAATTCTCCACGTAGGTATCCATCCCCTTAGGCAGACAGTCCTTGCGTGCTTTGCCTTAATTAAATAAACCAAACCAATTTCCTAACAGGCGAAGTCAAGTTTCTTCTCACGGTGGACAGACTAATTAAAAGTTCGATAATCCAGAATTCATGTATCCGGTAGAAGGACATCTGATGAGGCTACAGTTGCGTTTCTGGAAATTAACTGGAAACCATCGTCACTTCTTAGGACCAGTACATTTATTGCTGAATCTTACGTAGCAAAATTTTGTTGCTGGACTCTAACTATTAATTAACCACTGATTGTTGTGAATTGTTAGACGTAATTTAAAGTATTATTTCGAATTTTTCTCTAGTCACACTTTCTGAAGATGAAATTTAGTGAATATATAAAGGTAGCACACGGTACACCAATCGCGAAAAATTCCTCTGGTGAATGAGTGGAAAGTGACGAGGGAGAAGGTTTAATTAATATTACTTTTCGTGTGAGACTACCGGAGCATTTAAAGTATTTGTGAAATTTACAATATATAATAGCCACAAAGCAGAGAAGTCTTTATATTTTTGTCAATGATATTTTGAGAAAAAGATAACTATTCGAATTCCGAAACCTACATGCGACAGCAGTACAGTATATTTCTAAATTTAAACTGATTAGGAATGATAAATTACATGTATTCTATAGTTTATTTTCTACTAGTTTTCAACCATTAATTATTTGTGGTGTTATTCTGCGTAGAACTTCCTTTAATATTTTGCATTCTTAAAAAGTATTAAATTACATTTATAAAATTATTTTACTGCATTATTGGAATAAGTCCAATAATCCAGCAAATCTGATAAATTTTCATTACCAATGTCCCGAACTTGCCGGCATTATGCAATTTTTACTGTAGGTGTCGCGGACGCAAATTATGGTTTGGTTTATTAGATTACGGCAAAGCACTCGAGGGCTATCTGCCTTAAGGGAGGGATGCCTTCATGGAGGACTTTTTAAGGGAAACTGGCTCGCATACACGTTACACATGGGGAAAACCACGAAAACACCCATGCAGCCAGCCCGTTCGCGGGATTCGAAACTCGGACCGAACTACCAGTGTTCAGCAACTTGACCGCTCGGCCGCTGGTGAGCCAAATTATATTACGTGTATTATATTTCATTTCAAATGAAATAGTTCATGAAATAACTTTATAATTTACTGTTTTTCATTCAAGATTATTCAAACAAAAATGTGTATTTCTCCTTTTATTGCATTTTACATGAAATATATAGTTTTATTGCATTTTAAGTGAATTATGTGAAATTCCGTCTTATATAGAATGCATTTCACGTAAAGCATTGCATTAAATTATCTTTATATTTAATAGGCACTTTTATATCTCCCGTTTTATTGGGCAAAATTCAAATTACGTTTTTCACGTCTCGATCAGATATATCAGATTTATATATAGCGTTGTTCTAATATAGGTATTTTGACACAAAATCTTAATGTTTTTGAATTTTTTTTTAATTTTCGATGAGAAATTTAAAAATTTAACTTGGCACATTTTTTTCAGTTTGCGCCGAGAATAATGCACTTGACGAACTTCTTACTTTATAGCAACCTATTTTCCTTTGCCTTTTTTCGTGCACGAGCGTTAAAAAAAGTCATCATTTATACTTTCAAATAATTTTAACAAAGTGTGTAAGCCACATTTGGCATTATTATTTTATAATAAATATGCCAAATTTCAAAACGCGCCATATGTAAATTCACGTACATCTTAGGAAGTTTTGAATAAAAAACTCAGATTTTTTGTAGGTATGCTTAGAAATACATCTGCTCTAAGATGACAATAAAAATTTTATAGATTATATTAAAAAAAATATTTTTAATTTATAAAAAATATTTAAAAATACAAATTTTAGAAATAAATCATGTTATATCTAAAAGTTTCGCCACCAAGGTTAAATAGCTTTACTTCAAGGTACCATGTTATATCTGAAATACCTATATGTTAAATGTTAAATAAGAAACTAATTGCCGTGAAAGGTAGTGATCGTATAGTGAACCGTGTACAGCATTTTTGCGTTGTGAGAAAAATGCATCCCGGGACCGCGCCGTGAGAGGATCGAAAACATAAGAAAAACATATACAAGAAATAAAGGAAAAGTTCATATTAAATATATAAAGAAAACATACTGTAAGAGGTTCCAGATTAAATATCAGTTTATTCAATTACATCACAATAAGAAAAATCTTAACCTCATCTGAGAGTCTTTTTATTTAAATTCATAAAAAAACTTAAGGTTTGTCTGGTAATTTAAATGAAAGGAAAGGGAAACAATTTAAGGCCTGAGAGTTAAATTTTAGATTCGACGTTTTTTTTTTACTGCTAAGACGTTTTTTGAAAAGCTTGCCTAAAGTTCAAACACACCAAAAAAATAAAACTTATCTTGAGGGGACATCTTGAAGTGGAAGACTAGTATCTTATCAAGCGTTGATGTCGGCCGGGCTCATCTATCTTGACACTGGTACTTTATTTTTTTCACTGTAGAACAGAAACAGGAGCACTGCTGCCCAGGACGGTTATCCGCTTGGTCCTGAAAGTCCTATGTCAACACGCAGGTAACTCGTTCAAATTTCGCCTCTTTACCAGCACGCCGCAAGGAAGAGGGTTTTCAGCCTCAGGTCAGAAACGTTGTTTCTAGGCAATTACGGCTCGCCTGTTCTTACTCATCCCAAGAGCAAGCTTCACGAGTAACGTCCCAAGTAAGTTCCACCCGCCAGTCAGTAAGAGAGAGAATCCAACTCGAATTTCCTTCAAGCCAGTTTTCAAGAGCAACGTCCACAAGTCCAGCAAACCCGAAAGTCAGCGAGTCCAAGAGTGAGTCAGTCCAGAGTAAGTGTGTCTCGCCTCTTAACCAAAACGCGGCCGGGGAGCATATTTGCCGCTCCCCGCCGGGAAAACATTTTTCTTCGTACTTACATTTTGTCCAGCAAGCCCGTAAGTCCAGCAAGCCCGAAAATCAGCGAGTCAGTCAGAGAGTCAGCCAAAAAGTGAGTCCAACTCGAATTTTCCTTCGTCTCCTTCACAAACCGGGCTCCCACTATGGCTTCACTTATCGCTCCCTTAATTATGGCAAAATCTTCGTTTCAACTCCAGAATGCGGAAATAAGGGTGATCGCGCATGCGCGCCCTTCTTCACTTAGCCAACAACCGGACCCTCAATCGCCAAAACCTGAATGACTTACATTGAAAGACAAGTAGCAACCTTTGACCTTTCCGTCACGTACTTTCCTCTCTTAAGGTCAACTAACAATGAAAATTCTTTCTCGAACATTCTAAAGGACAAGCGCGCGAAATCATGACTTGGCAAAAATTGCCTCCCTTTCCCTGCTTCTTTCACAATGAATAAAAGTTTGTACAAGATTTGCAAATAAAAAAGAAAATAAATAATATTCATTTAAACTAAATAATATTTCCAGAAGCATCTGTTTTTCCCCAAAATTAAAGCCTTAAAATAAATAATTCAGAATCAAAATAAAATTTAAATTTCCAATTTAAATATCTGATAGCGTTATAAAAATTAGGTGAATTAAAATCATTCACCTAATTTTTATAACGCTATCAGATAATTTCTCTACATAACAATCATAAAAAATGGGTGAATTTTATTTGGAATGAACTTAAATTTCGAAATGCAAAAAAAAAGGATCAAAGACGTATAATAAGAAAGATATATCAATAAATATATATCAAATTCAATTAACGTGTAGGAGCTAAAATTTCGAGGGCTAATTTTTTTAAAACTACTCGTGTGATTTTTACAAAACTTGGCAGTTTGGGATACTTTGAGCCGTAGAATCGAAATATGGAAGAATATTGGTATGTTAATTCAGAAAAAGTCCGATTTTGTGTCAAAATACCTATATTAGAACAATGCTATATATAAATCTAATACATATCCTAAGTCGCGCTTTTGAGACATGAAAAACGCAGCTGAATTTCGTCAATTGACCCAGTAGAACGGGAGATATTGAACTGTCCCATGTTTTGGGGCAGTGTACATTTTACCTTTTTATATGTTTTATTTGTCGCCCAGGCGGTATAATGATTAGGGAAGCCTACTGCGGTACAGAAGGTCCCGAGTTCGAATCTCGGAGAAGGCACAGATGCTCGTAAATATGTAGTGTCTTTGCGGCACAGGAACACGCTAAATACATGATGAAGCAAATGTCGTCTTTTGTGGATTGGTGGTAGAACAGAGAGGAAGGCCCTCGGTCCAACCCCAGGGGTGCTCTCCCTCAAAAGTGGGATGGAAATAGAAGTTCAACGTCCTTGAGGCTCTGATAATCATTCTTCCATGAAATTCTTGGACAAGACAACAGCAACATATGCTTTATTTTCAAAGGTTCTGTTCAGTATGAATTGTATAAATTACAAACATGCTCATTTTAAACGAAGATCTTGTGAAAATGTTGAATTCTAAAACTGAGTTTCTCTCAAGCGTGGAAGAAATCATTTCTTCTGATGTGTTCTGCTACTAATTTTATATTTTTAAAACATAGAAGCAGAGAAAACACATAAAATTTTATACTATAGAAGGATACAGAAGCAAATTTAAAAGTAAAGGCAGGCAAGTGTAGCCTTTGCCCCTGACAAAATGATGCCTAATGTAAAAACCCTCATTTTTTAAATGTCAGACTTTTTTATTTGTCAACTACTACCAATAGAAAAATTGAAACCACCGAAATGCTAAAAATAAAGTCTCCCCTCCCCCCCCCAGAATCGTATTTTAAAACAGGCTATATTGTATATAAAAATATAATTGTTTTGTAACCTATATAATACGGATAATAAAATACCGTTTTAAAGACAGTGGTATTTTAAAGACTGGCTAGCAAAATTATGTGTAGAGCATTTTTAAAATGCAACTTTCGGTTACTATAAGTAAGAAAAGCATTTAATTTTAAACTACGCTGGACATAAAACCTTTTTTTACTAAGTACTTGATATTTATTACAACGTGTCTAGAACTATTTTGGGATTTATTTTAATAATAGTGGATTTTTGGATATCCGGAGTCCGAATAACTGGAGTTCTTACTTGTAAAGAATAACTGGAAATTAACCTTGTTTTGCTCCCGTGGCACCTAGCAATCGGGACAATTGCACAGCCGAATTTCCGTTTTATACGTATTGTATTTGTTCTAAAGAAATCAAATGAACTTGAATTCCTGTTTCAAGTACGGTTTTCAGCGACCTGACAAAGTAAAATTTAAATTTGCAATGTATGCGCTTTGTCCCAGGCCATACTTTTTTTTTTTAAATAAAATGTTTTCGATACATATAAAATTAGAGAAAGATAAGCATTTTCTCAAGCGTATTCTTCCAGGATTGCAGAAAATGGTTCATATATCTAATTTTTTGGAAAATAACTTTTTTCTTCCCTGTGATATTAAACAGAGCGAATGCGGAGAGGTATATAGAATTACTTGAAACGTTCAATGAAAAGAAACTGGAAGAATTGCAAAAGCAGCAAAATGAGGCAAAAGCTGGCTTCGAAGAAGCAAAACTGAAGTACCGCAAAGAAATCCGTAAAATAATGGAGGTAAGTAAGTTCGTTTTGAAGCTATAAACTGAAAATTGTGTCATAAAATCTTTATTTTAAAAGCATCGGTGGATTTTTGCTTGCTTTAAATCAAAGAAAATTTCTGTTATTTCATATCATTTTCAGGAAACTCTACGGACCAAGGAATTTGCAGAATGGTTGAAAGCCAAGAACAAGGCCCGTTTGAAGGAATATCAGGTGCGTCTTCGTGTTTTTTCTAAGATACCAAAGTCGTTTGTTCCATATAATGTAATGCGCAACCAATAATACAGAGGTTCTTAACCGAGGGGGGGGGATTTGATTTGGAAGATCTTATCTCACTTCAAATGAAATATGCTTAAAGGAAATGTAGTAAAAAATATGTATATTTTAATAGGCGTACAGGGAAATCATATGATATTCACATCACATTTTTTATTTTATGAAGTTGTTGAAATTTAAAATTAATGGAATTAAAATTTAATGGATTATTAAATTAATTAATTGAATGATTTTAATGTATTTTTAATTACTGGTATTTATTTTCATATTTAAAAATAACATTTTAGTGGCAGCATCTGAGAAATCTTCTTATATAAATTTGGCTTAAGTGTTTGTCGCTGATAGTTTATTGGTTGCTTGCGTAACTGTGAATTGTTTTATTCCCCGTGCAGTGCAGTGCGTGACGAATATTATGAGAACGCTAAGCTGAAAAAATTAAAAATACAAGAGCACGTGCATTTAACATTTAATAAATAAATTTAACATCTATATATAAAAGAATTCGGAAATATGCAACCGGCAAAAACCGGCAACGATGAAAAATCAAATAAAATGAAATAAAAAAATATCTTTATTATATGCGGCTTAAGTGTCTGTTTGTCGCCGATAGTTTATTGATGGCTTGCATAATACTAGCCAATGGGGTGAAGTTGCCACGGCACAGGGTTGCCATTTCAATGGAGACGTAGACAATTTTCTGTAAAACTTGCCTTTTCTATGACCATCAATAAGTCTCAGGGCCAAACACTTAAGCGTGTTGGCATTTTTTTACCTGAGCCTGCATTTGTACACGGTCAACTTTATATTGCCTGTTCAAGATTTCGTGAAAGAACAGACGTAAAATTAAAAATAATGGATGGTCCTCTGCAAGGCGAGCTTAAAAATGATGGAAAGATCTACACAAAAAAATGTTGTCTACAAAGAGATCTTAGACATGTGAATTAGCATTTTATTATTTAAATCACCTTTATTTATTGAGCTAGCGGTGGCTCCTAAGAAATGTACCGCCAGTGGTTTCCTTCATTGCACTCTACTTTAAGCAATTAAGCAAGTAGAAGGGGGAAACCCCGTGGGGCAGTAAGTAAAGAGACGTCCTCGCCGCCTGCTGTGGATAATTCAGTTTGAATTAGCAGACACCTTTGCACAAATCATTTTAATTACAATTTATAATATCTAGGACAGCGGTCATTTCATATGACCGCCGAGCTTTCTAAATAACTAAAAGTTGTAAATCGCATTATATGTTGTTATCACATCTTCCAAATGCACGGAATAGCAGCATCTGTCGCTGCTGTTATTCCGTGCATTTTGCTTTCCCCCCCTTTTTTTTTTTTTGTATTTTCCATCGATAATTCTGCTTTATCCTGATGGTTATATACAATAAACCAATTTTACTTTTTTTTTTTACACAGGATCTGGGTTATCCACTCCTGGTTTTCGGGATTGACTAAATTAAAAATTTTTAAAAGCCTGGCTAATTATTGCTTACTTTTCGTATAGAAAGAACAAAAGGACCTTTGGAGCAAATTCTCAAGAGAACTAAAAGAGGCTAATATTTTATGTACAAAGCTTCAGGAAATAGATATTATCTATCAGAAATTAGTAGAGGAAAAAGAATTAGAAGAACTTGAGAGAAAACAGCAGGCAGCCGCTACTACTCTACAAGCTTATTGGCGAGGTTTTCTTGTAAGACGGAAGTTTCATGGTAGTTAATTGGATTGCAGGTTTCTATGCTTCCCTCCTTGTATTGCATTAATACTACTACTTTACGATTTTGCTGAATAAAAGACATTTTATAAAAATTTTTTTGCTTGTCTGTAATGTTATAAAGCGTTTTTGTTTAACCTTTTAGACTAGGGGTTCTCAATCAGGTAAGAGGAGAATTTTTTAGTCTTAGTAGGGATTCCATGAGCCTCTATTTTACTGTTAAAGGTTGGTGTTGGTGTATTTAATTATGGCAAAACACACGAGGGCTATCTGCCTAAAGGAAGGGATGCCTTCGTGGAGGATTTTCTAAGGGAAACTGGCTCGTATACGCGTTACACATGGAGAAAACCACGAAAACGCCCTCTCGGGATTCGAACCTCATTTACTGTTAAGTATTTAGTTTTAGTTTATGTATATAAAAGCTATTTTTTATTAAAGTTTTGATATTTATCAATATTTTTTACAGTTTTTTATTTAATTAAGAGAACATCGTTAAAAATAATCTAAATAAATGTACATACCAGCCGCTTACTAAAAACACTTCTATTCCAGTCATATTTTAGTTTATTGAGTGGCTGAGTTTAACGAAAGGCGATTTCAATATTGCATATTAAGGTATCGACTTTGAATTTATTTAGTATAGTTGATAACAATTAATCTAGTTAATAATATCTAGATTAGTAATTAAAAATTAAACTATTGGCAAAAATTTGGAAATTAATTTTTTATAAAAAATTTTATAATTACGTACTGATTAAATTTTAAACTTTTACAAAAAATTGCTCTGTCCGTATTTGTTTCGCAACTGTTCGTCAACAGTCTTTCAATTGTATTTTTAAGTTCGTAAAATTGTTGACAACTTTTCTGATCTCCGCCTTTCAATCCAAGAGTTTCTTAGTTTGCAGTGCTTTTATCGATTTAGCTAGTCACTTTCTTCCATTTCACATTCATTACATTTTTAATTTTTGCAGAACTTTTAACACTTTCTAAAACATCGTAGTCGATATTTTTATATGCTGTCTTGATATTATCACCGATTGCAAAATATTCTAAAAACGTATAAGGTATTTCTCCCGCCTTCTTGGCATGCCTTCGTGGTGTGGTAGTCTGCACGTTGGGCGCGTATTCCAGAGGTTCGCAGTTCGATTTCCGGCGAAGGCATTGCTAATTTTTCATCGCTCTTGCTCCAAAAAAAATCCTAATGCCTTTACAAACGAATCTTCTTAATTTTCCTCACTGATGTCCGAAATACTAGGAGTCATTTGCAATTCCTCTGTGAGTTCTTCTAAAAAAAATCACATTTTTTAAAGTAATTTCTAAGTGTTGGGGAGGCTGCTCCCCATGCGTTTACTATAATATGCATAGCCTCTAGCAAAGATATTAATTTAGTTATCTCCTTAGTAATCTCCTTTAGTTATCTCCTCGAAGTAATCACATTTTCAGAAATTTACTTTTATTTAGCTTTTTCTGCAAGGCACCTTTTCTGTAATTCCATTTGAAAGCTTTTATAATACCTTGATCTAATGGCTGAATAATAGAATTCGTTTCTGCAAGAAGAAATACTAATTTAATGTTTCTGAAAATGATATCCTTGGGGTTTGCAACCCAGTTATCTAACAGTAAATCTATTTTTTCGTTTTTCAGTTCTCTGTATCATTTCAAAAGGAAATCACTAAAAATACCCTTTGTTATCCACGAGTTCTTGTTATTATGATAAATTAAAGGTGAATTCTTGACTCATTTTACACATCGATGCTTCCTACTTTTTACAGTAACCACTGGCGTCTTTTTAATTGTTGCATCCTTATTGTCCGTAAATAACACAGCAGCTTGTTTTTTTAATTTCTTGAAATCAGCTGCTGTTTCACATATAAACATTAATCTGACTTCCGGTAATGCTCTGTAAAACAAATTTTCATCTGTGCTATACATTTCGTGTGGCTTGTATTCTTTCAGAAAATCAGGTAAAACGTCTTTTATCCATCTTTCAGCCGAATGATGATTTCTCACCATGTAGTTTCTGGTAAACAATGTTGTTACCCTCTTTCTATCTTGTGAGTCATCCATCAGTTGGCACACAATATTCTTCTCGAATTTTAGAGAATTCTAACGCTTTTGTGGTCAAAAGAGCCGTAGAAATGAGAACACGTTTTAAGAGTCATAGTATGAAACTATTCTAGAAGAGCGGATTCAGCGTCTGTCGATTCTCCGTCCCTTTTGCACTTCCTTGAGACATTTGTTCTTATTACTAGTTCTTTACAAACTTTATTTCTTTCTTAAAGTAATTTGCAGGTTGTAACATATAATTTCTTAAAGTAATCTTTCAGTAATTTATGCTTTTTTTTTTTTTTTTTTTTTTTTTTTCAGGCTTAATTCATTTCGTTTAAGCATTTGTGACATGCTACAATTCACGTACAGAACATAAAAATGTTACTTTCAGTGATTTTCTTCAAATCCAAAATTCCTGTTTCTTGCCAACAGGAAGTCGCCTGTCACTTTATGGTTATCATAGGTGTAATCAATGCTTTCTTTGCTTTTTTTTTCTTCAGCCTACAACGACCACGCCCTTTTTCCAATCAAAGAGTGATAATGTGCGATTATGCAAGAAGCCTTTCATGATGTTTTCTGAGAACACCCTACAAACTTAATGTATACGTGCACAGCCATCCCCTATCAACTGGTGCTCGTGAAAGGGAATCAGTGTTCACTTAAGTACCACTTATTCTTTAATCGTGGGAAAACCTCAATCGTTTATAATCAAAGAACCTGCTTCCAATCCTTCTAGAAGCTTTTATTCATCAGAAGATAAAGGTATTCTGTTGCTTTCAGCATTAGTCCGGACAAAGAGATTTGCAAACAGTGTCTGACAGGAACTAGAGAAGTGTCCCTCCCCCGGGCGTGTTGATTCTAACTAAACGGACCAAATTTTGTACTAAATCAGTTTTATTCAAGCACTACATAATTGAAACATAAATGAATGAAGTGCAAACAGCTTTTATCAGCCACAAATAGTTTATTTTTGGATTTGAAGAATCAGTCTTTTGCCGATTTCAGTTTTATAAACGGCGGAGAGAGTTTAATAAACGACGATTTTTCTCAACATGTATTGGTTTTGATTCCTGAAAATTTGGATGCAGTAAGTGGTTGAGTGGGAGGTTAATAAGCGGCAGGCATTGCAATATGCATTTTTTTAATGTTTGGTAAGGAAGAAAGAGTGGATGACCTTCTAGCAATGGTGAAAGAGGCAAAACAGGTTGAGAATCCTTGTTCTAGACTGCTAAATAAATTATCGCATTTACCTTTGAATACCAAAACAGTTTATAAATTCCTTAATATGAAACAACTGTAAAACGCATTTGAAATGGAACCTGAAATGCAGAATTAAAACAGTTAACCGAATTAACTGCCTTTTCTTGCCGGACTCAAATTTTCAATTAACTCAGTGATACAAAATATTTAAAGTCAGAATATACATTTAAAAGACTAACAACATGCCTCTGCTATTCCGAACCTATGAACTTAGTTTTCAATGCAGGACTAATTCGGTATTTGGTAGCAGCAGCACTCAAGGCATAAAAGTAAGAGAGGCTGATATAGCCTATAACGGGGCAGGCTGGTGTTGCAGAAATTATCTCGTGAGTACAGATTAGCGCTTGTTATTTAAACTCGCTTTATTGACGTATTGGTAGAATAGAACGAAACAGTAGACGTGTAGGAGAAATTTTAAAGACAGAAATAACGTATTGATTAAAATAAAAATTATAAATCCAGTACTTAAATTAACAAATTACTTCTCTTGTGCAGAAGAGCTTATCCAGTCAAACTATTACAAAATTGAAATGAAGTACTAATAGTGTACACAACGAATATTAATTATATGCCTATGATAATGAATAAAAATTCAGTGTTTAATTTATTCAAAGAAGTGTAGGATTTATATATTCCTGATTATTAATTTGATTTACAATTTTTTTGCTTTATTTATGACATACTTTTTAGAGACTGGACGCAATCCCACCATTATTTTCGAGGACCCCCTCGGTGTAGAACTTTTGTAACCTCTTTCATTACTTAACTAGGCAAAACAGCAACCTCATTTTTTCTATAGATTTTAATTTAAACTCTATTGATTTCGAGAGAGATAGGACAAGATTCCTCTTCTTCAGGAATAACAAAATTCTGCAAAGAAGGGAGGAGCGACGACGGCATCTTGTTTTTGATGTAAAAATTCGGTCATCTTCTCATTTCCTTGCAGTTCGTTTTCTCTCTTCCTCCTAAGGAAGAGAGGTCTGTACCTCATCGCCCTCGAAATCGATTTTCAAGTTGCAATTATAATCTGTGCCAAAAAATAAGCTTACTTTTTCATAATATTATTTTTTACATTGGTATGTTTCTCTTCTTATTTAATTATACACATGTTAATAATATTGTTAAGAAAATGAGCCTTGCTAAATCACTTACTTTTTTGCAAGCAGCTTTGTTTTTTCTGGTTTAACTGCCCCGCGAATAACCTTAGGTGGTCCAGTAAATAAATATGTTATGTGTCGCAGACTTTGAATAGAACTGGTGACAGTGTGACTTCCTTAGCTGCATTTAAATTTTAATACAGAATACCTCGGAAGGAATGAAATGTTTCGCGATTCCATCTGGGCCATCTCTATCGATAATATCAACCGACAAATCATATTAAACTTTTAAAGAGACCTTTTTGGCATAGTTAAAAATCTGAATTCATTCAGTTTTATATTTAGTCTTTCGTTTTTAACAGTGTATTCCTTGGTTATAATATTGATTTAATTTATGTAATAAAAAATTAACTTTCTAGATAAAACTGCTTGAAAACATAGATAAATAATTCATATAACTTTCCTGTTATTCTTAAATTATGTTATTAAGCTTCATTTTCTGTTACTATTTTTGTTTTGTAATTTCTGTTAATGGGTTTTCCTCTTTTTCGTTTTTTTTTTTAATTACCTTCGAAGGAATCGTGCCATTACTTCTATTAATTAAGAGTCGACTTTAATTTAAAATTTATTTTGTAATAGATCCAACTGATAATTTTGAATATTTGCAGCCTTACTGTAAATAACAAAAGAAATTATTTATATCAGCTGGATATGAGATATATGTATAAAAAAATCATTGTGTTTTTTTGGAACTCTGTACGTACATATTTTAAACCCACACTTAAAGTCAAAAAGAGCTGAATCACGTTTTATTGATGTTATTTTTATTATCATTATCAATCATATATCATTATGCATTACATGCTAAATAAATAAAATCTGAAAGCTTTCAGATTTTATTTATTTAAATTAAAGTCGACTCTTAATTAATAGAAGTAATGGCACGATTCCTTCGAAGGTAATTAAAAAAAAAAACGAAAAAGAGGAAAACCCATTAACAGAAATTACAAAACAAAAATAGTAACAGAAAATGAAGCTTAATAACATAATGAAAGCTTTCAGATTTTAAGGGGCGTTTTTTTTTAACGTTTTCTGTGTTACCTTTATTTACTAAATATCCTGTTCTTATTACTTAAATCATATAAAATACAATTCAACAACAATATCACAAAATAAACAGAATATTTTTAGAATTTTCAATAGAAAGTTTCGCGCGCAGGAGATAAACATGTTATTTTCCGTACAGTGTTGCATTGCTCGCTTTGAAGCCCTTGAGTTTGTTAATAAGAAATTCTTTAATGTTTTACAAATATGAAATAGATAATAAAACAATTTCAAAATTCAAGATTTGGGCTTACAGGTGCCCATGTTCAGATGGAGGACTACGTTATTCAAAATTTGATAACTCTGGGTGCCGCCGTTTTTTGACATTGCGAAAAACATACATTCATGCAGACTGTTCATTATTTAATTTCTTTAAATATAATACAAGGCGATAATATTTGATGGAAACAATTTTAAAAGTGAAACAGACATTTATAGTGAAACAAGGCAAAATTCCGTTTCGAAACTAATAACCCTTCTGGGCTACCGCCTGTTTGGGGTAATAATTTTCCTGTCATTGATTTACAGAAATTATGAAGTTTTTAATTAAATAAAAAAAAAGAAGCTGTATTCAGATATTATGAAATGGAACAAACATTATTCCGACCTATTGATCTAAAGGTTCTCAGGTGTCATATCTAGGGTTCCCACCTTTCTCGGAATTAAGTCGTGAAAATTGAAATCTCCCGGCTCCCGGAAGGAATTTAAAATAAATATTACTCTCCCGGAATATCAAGTTTCTCGAAAATAACGACACAATGCGCACGAGCGAAATGGTTGGGAGCATCGAAAATCACACGACCGCGCACAGCAGCCAAAGATCGAGTCTATGTCAATACATATTCTCAGCGATCTACGGTAAGCGCCTTACAGGATGAGTAGTGGTTTCATGCCGGCGTATCGCGCCCTCACTCCCCTCACCCTCTCATTTTCAATCCATTCTTTCATTTAGTCTGCAATTAGCTAGCTATCCACAAACAAGTGCGTATTTTGAAATTATTTAAATGCTTTCATAATAATGTCTAGTGTAAAAAACGATTCTGATTCTACACGTAAACAAGTGCCACAAAGACAAAATATTCGACGTCGTTTCAAGACAAATGGTTAACTCAATTTTGATTGGCTTATGAAGAGAGACAACGTTAACGGAGAATGTAAAGTATGTCGGAAAACGGTTAATGTTAAGTACGAGGATGTTAGAGCTTTAGCTGGACATTTCTAAAGCAAGAAATACCAGTCGTTGATATTGATTAGGGTTCATCGCAATCGGTTTCGTACCTTTTCGTAAAGAAATCTTCAGAAGAACAAGACAATATATTAGCAATTGAAATTACTTCAGTCTATCATAGGATTAAGCACCATCACACTTTTAATAGCCAGGATCGCACAAATTGTATAGCAATCTATTTCCAGATTCTTCTTTGGCAAGAACGATTTCTTGTGGTAGAACAAAATGTACAAGTATTTGCGAAGGTGTGCTTGCTCCTGCAGCTCAAAAAATACTTTTAAACGAGATTAAGAAGGCGGAGTTTTTTTCAATTGCGAATGGGGGAAAAAAAAAAAAATTTATTTTCCCGGAATTTTTTTTTTTTTTCTCTCCCGGATTTTGACAGCCAAGAGGTGGCAACGCTAGTCATACCATGTCTTTTACGGTGCAAATGCATATTAATTATAACACTATTGCAATTAAATATTTATGCATATAAATGTCCACATATTTTCCTTTTGTCTTCAAAGAAAAAAGTATTAATAAAATTAACATGGATCTAGGTGTTCAACGAAATATTATTAGTTGTGGATAACATATCTCTTCGGTAAAACTCGACATTTATTTTAATATATCACCATCTCAATCCATATTAAGTTATGTTTGCGAGACTATGCTGTATGTAGTAAAAAATTTAGATTTCGAGATGGTTGTAAGCATATTACTTGCCATTATGTTCCTCATAGAAGTTTACATTCTATGAATTCATAATAACAGGAAATGAAGAAAACGACAAGTAGAAATAAGATAATTTTATTAATTTAAAAATACAGACCATATTCTTAGATATAAAGTAGAGGAGAAGACTGTAGTGCAAGTGGCATAATAAAAATAGCTATCTTCTTTCATCAGTTCGATAATTTTCTTAAACAGGCCGAGATTGAACGTTTTATTAACGGAAGCTGAACACCGGCGAAAGAGCATGCTTTAGAATAATTAATTTCTACCGTAGAGAAAATAATCCGAAGCTCCATTCAGTATGCTTTTCAAATTAAGTACCCAATCTTCAATCGTAAATGCATAATTATTTGTAACTGAACAACAAAGTGATATATTTTATTAGGTGGTTTTACAAGCTTAAGGTGGGGAAATTAGAACTGCCTGAACATCTCTAAAACATAGGAAAAATATCCTTTTAAATTTATTACAAATGAATTTTGCAGAGGAGGTAATTATTTCATTTAATGTAGAAATGAATAAGCGATTTTATATATAAAGTTATAAGACGACATCATTGTTAATTTTTATTATATGACAACATTAATAATGAAATAGAGTTGCCAGCAATGCCCGTTCGAAATACAGATTGACGTTTGACAGTAGAAACCATAAGCAAGTTTGCTTTTGATGGCAGTTCGTCATTGAGCAGAAAGATTCAAATGGCGCAAAACAAGACATTTTATGAGATCTTTGCCTGTCTGATGGTCATGAAGTACGCAGAAGGTGTTTTATTTTCAAAATGTGCTATTGTAGTTTATTAAGTACGGTTTTTAATGCTAAGTAGTTAATGTGTTTTTCTTACGATATTACGATTTAGCTAAAATAGTATAAATTCATTTATGATTTTAAAAGAGTATTAGGATAGCCAGAGACACATTTCCCTACCAAACTGCCCAAGATGCAAAGCCATATTGTTTGTAGCAATTCCAGTTGGTATGAATATACATTAAATCTGCCAAATAGAGCTCTAGTTTACTATCTATTTTCTTTATAAATCTTTCAGTTTGTATATCTATACATTAAATTTTACAAACAGAACTGTAATCACTGCTTATTTTCTCTTTGCTTATTCTCTAATTTGGCTCAATCATCGTAAAAGAAACTAGCTGTCATTATAATTTTGAAAAATTTTGAGTGCTTATAAAACTGCTCAAGTTGCAAAGCTTTTGGTTTCTAGTTGAATCAATTTGTATAACTATGCATTAAGTACTTATCAAATAGAGCTCTAGTCACTATTGATCTTCTGCCTGATTGTTTTCTGATCTGATTGCTAAACAATGGTTTGCTGATTATTTATTTTTTAGACTGTCATTGTAAAATTCTGACAAGTAAACCTTGTTAAGGCAAGACTAAGCCTATGAAGTGAAAATATGCCTTGTAATTAGATAAATAAATGTAATAGATACAGCGGCTAGAGCTCATGTCATTTTTTTATTTGAATGAAAAGATTCATATGAAAATATTTCTTTCAAATTTTAATACAACTATCTCACGAAGAGTTTAGTCATTGAATGTTATTTTTTACAATAAGATACGAAAGATTTTTTTGTTTGTTTTTAAGGTCACCTAATTAAAACACTTACCTTATATACTATCATAAGTGCTTTAGCTTAAAGTCGAGGTTTTATTTTATCGTAAAATTTCCGGAAATTTAAAATGTCGGATATATAAGTCGAATACAACGACGAATAAGCGACTTTGAAACCTCATTCAGAAAAAAGGATCAGATTTCAGTGTCAGACGAAGACGATTAAATATGATAAAATTTCGAATGAAATTTATTCTATAGACGTTAATTTTATTTTGATTTCTAAAATAATTATAATAGAAAGTTTATATTCCCTTCGAGTATAAATTCTATTTAGTTTACAACAAAAGTACTATTTTTAACTTAGCATTTGTTTTTATGAAATTGCATCGAGAGCTATAATACTTGACAGAAAAACAGTTACCAAAGTAATATAATTACTAAATATATCTAAAATCATACAAAATCATACTTTTAAACGTGCGTATACTGAAACATTTAATTTTGTGATTGATTTTAGAAGTTTATAATTCGACTTATTTGCGAGTATATAAGGTAATTAAATAATGATTAATCATTTGCATATATTTCTTTCTTGAATTAAAAATAATTTATTCATAAATTGTTCCTCATTCTTATTTTTTCTCAGGCAATAAACTCAAAATATTATAGAAATAAGGTTAGAAAATGTTATATGATATCAACAAAACTATTCCTAACGTTCAATACATAGAAGGGGGCATAAGTTATAAAGGAATACTTAACGAGTTCTGTTATTAAAATTCCAATGCCTTACTTCCATCGTTATTTTAACAAAGCAGCTTTACTATATTGAACAAAGTTAAACTCTGGGGTAGACACCCCAAGAAGTAGTTATCTAGATAAAGCGAAAGCGCGACAACCGTGGATACTTTTAAGTAGTTGAAAGAGCTTAGGACAAAAATTACACATTCGTGCAGTAATTTGTTCTTTGTGTGGGAAAATGTGTGAGGTTGTGACAACAATAAAAGATATGTATCTATATAAAGGTTTTGTTTTCTTTTTTTCCTTGTGTGTCCAACGGCCATTAACAGCAGCGGGAGCTGCTTCGAGATCCAGAAATCCATTACCAGAGACGATGGAATATGAAGATCTCCAGACTTTCGAATCGTCGTACTTTTGGTAATTTTTGTGAAACTGAAAGAAGAAAACAAAATTAATCTATAGATGCAAAATTTTTTATTTTGTGTAACACTTGACAGTGAGAAAACATAATTTTTATTTCTCTACAGTTTGAAGAGGAAAAGATTGAAATTCAAAAATTTCAAATTACCATTCTGACACTTCAAAGAAAAATTTATCATTAAAAGTTAAAAAGGTATTAAAAAATTAAAAAGTATGGAAATATAAATAGATTACAAAGTATAAAAAAATATACAAATATTTTTATTTTATCTTCTTATTTAGATTTCGCTGACCTTCATACCCGATATAAGTTTAAGCTTAATAATTACGATATTATGCTAATGAAGAATGAAGATTAACTAATTAAGAATGAAGCAACTTTATTAATGAAGAATGAAGATTAACTAATCAAGATGCAGAACATGAAATCGTATATTTTGAAAACTTAGTTTTAAATATTTTAGGAAAAAAAAAAAAAAAAAAAAAAAAAAAAAAGCTTCCTATGATTATACAGGCTAGTATAATTATCTGATATGGAAAAGATGAAAATTAAAAAAAATATTATAGCCTAAGAATAAATGCACGTTTCTAATTACAACACTCTTAAAGACTAATAGTAAGGTGTCACATATTTTAGTAACCTTAAAATTAGAACCGTAAAATTTAAAATAAAAGGAATTTACAACTTCTTTTTTACAGCAGAATTAGTTTTTCACCTTTGCTATTTTACAAGTTAAAGACATTAGTGTAATTTGTTAAAATTAAAATCTAAAAGAAGAGATAATATTTGTGTTTTGCATAGTATTGAATTTGCATCGCTAAAAATAACAAATTTATTCATTGTCTGTTAAATTTGTTGTTAATAAGTAGTAGAATACATGCTTACTGCCATTCAGTTTGCTCACAAAGAATCGGTGTCCAGTCTTTGAATTTTTGCTCTCCTAGTAATGGAAAAAATAGCTGTAAAACAAACTATACTGATTGCTGAAAGCTTGAATGCATTATGATTTTATTTTATTTAAACTAAATATAGAACCTTAAGCAATAAAGTTATAAAATATTAATAAAAATAAAAAATAAAAACGAAAGCAAAAATGTAGTTCTTTTCCCCAATGGAATTTAAACTAGCATTGACAACGTAAAGGAAAGCCTACTGTAAATTAAAGAATCAGTTATTAAAAATGAACTGCCAACTATGTTACCAAAAAAAGAAATATAAATTGTGTTATTATATAAAGGAATATACTTTTTTACGTGACAAACACCTTAAGCCTTAACACATGGACATTTAAAATGCCTTTTAACGGCACTTAAACAGCTAACACATTAGGCTTTCCAGATGTTTTTCGCGCATATCAGCCAACGAATTCACTTTATTCTTTACTGTAGGAACGGCAACAGATATATTACTCTTCCCTTAAATGGCAACAGCAGCTGCTTTCAGATTAGTTTATATTTAATGGTGTGACGAAGTTTTAATTGATGTTATATTTATTTCTTTCCCCCTTAGTGAATAAAGTGGTGCAAGCAAGAAAAACGTTCGTCACTATTTCGGAGGAATAGTTAAAATTTGGTTTTATACCCGCTACACACAATGAAAGGTCACTTTTTTGTCTTTTATGCCGCAAATGCCTGACCAGCAAATCTATGAAACGAGGCGTCTTAGGCACATTTAAAGGCTCATATTAATTCAGATTTGAAATTCAAATGTTAAAGAAAAATTTTGAAAAAGAGTAACACTTAAGTCTCTTATTACTGCTCATAATGCAACTCTCTTGAGGATAGTTATCAAATTTCATTATTCATCGCTAAATCTGGGAAAAGTCATACTAGAGGGGAGAATTTAATCAAACCATAAATATCAGCATTTCTTAAAACGGTTTAAAAGAAGATGGCCATTAAGTTACAACACTGTTAGCAGAAGAATAGATGAGATGAGTAAGGATATTGAATTACAACTTGTTGAAAAGCTGAAAACAAGAAAATTTTCGGTGCAAATGGATGAATCAACCGTGAGAGATAGTGAGGCAAAAGAAATGTTGTTCTGTAAAATAAGTTCATTAGAAAGCATCACTACCTCCAAAGATATTTATAGTATGCTAAAAAATTACTTAAATTCAAAACTATACCAATGAAAAATATAACATCTTGTGCTGCAGATGGTCCTCCTAATATGACGGGGAAGAAAAAGCGTTGCTTAAAATTATTGAAAGACTGAAAATCCAGAAATGCTTTTTGTGCATTGTGTTATTTATAGGGAAAACCTGGTAGCTAAAAACATTTCACCTGTTCTAAATGAAGTGCTAAATTCAGTTATAAAAGTGTATCAATGCTATTAAAGCCAGTGCCAAATGTGAACGTCTCTTCAAGTTATTTTGTGACGAACAAAATGAAGAGTATATGAGACTTATACTTCACACTGAAGTCGAAAGGGAACTGCTTGAAAAGATTTATGGAACTATTTGATGTGTAGTTATTTTTTAAGCGACAAACCTGAAATGAAAAATCTGTTAACGGTTGATGGTAAGGTATTTGTGAGTTCTTTAGCTGATATCTTTGAAAAACTAAATATATTAAATAAACAACTTCAAGGAGCAAATAAAACTCTTGACAATGCAAAAGCTAAGATATTTGGTTCCATTACCTTTATTGATGTCAGGCATATACTTACAACAAAACTTTTGAAATGTTTCATTGGCTCCAAAAATGTGAAGTAACTGATATCGCTATACAAATTATTGTTGATCATCTGAAAATTTTGTCGGCTGATTTAAATAAAGATTTTCTGATTAAAAACAAATTAATTTTCCAACTTGGATGATGCAGCCAATGTTAGTGGATTTGGCTGATATTTCAGGTATGCAGTATCAAGAAGAACTTGCAGAAATGTAAGTGGATGAGTCAATAAAAACTTGATTTAATACAAAAAGAACGATGACATGGCTTTATGAAGAAACCGAAATCAAATATCTAAATGCAACGAAATGTGCAAGAGAACTATTGCTACCGTTTCCATCTTCATATTTAGTTGAAAGCGGATTCAGTGACATAAATGATCTACTGCTAAAAAAAAAAAAAAAAAAAAAAAAAAAAAAAATGTCGGATAGGTATAATAAAACTTTAGGGGAAGGTTAGGTGGGGCACACATAAGAAAGGTTGGGAAACACTGAATTAGAGTACTCAGGACCATTTCCATTTTCTTTAATGTCTTTACAGTCAACTGAGTACTTCTGTCACCTACATGTGATTAGAATAAGGCTGTGAATTAGAAAAGAATTAAGAATGTTTTTTAAACAGTTTCTAAGATGCCGGTCAAGATAAATGTTTAATTAAAAAAATTAAACTATAAAAAGTTAGTTTAATTAAACTGTAAAAAGCAAAGATTAGAAACGCCAAAAAGAGAATTTCTGGTAAAGATGATAACTCTAGAAATCGTTGCTAAGTGCCTAATTTTTCGCAATGCTATTATTTTAAAGCAAAAATTTGACGATAAGATAAAACAGTATGCTTGATCTTACAGTCAGAAAAAAAAGAAAAATATAGACATGCTTTCAGAATTTTTTTTGACAGAATTGTCTTCACCTACTCCCATATTAGCACAGATCTCAGAGTACCATCAAATAATATGAATCTGCATAATGTTAAAAAAGAGTCAGAAGTTTTATTAGAAATTATCTTTTATTAGAAAAGGAAGAGAAAAAAATGTGTATGGCTTGGACACGTTCAAGAAGGGTTGCCATAATACCATAACATCGTAGGTAAACATAATCAGCCTCACGTGGCGTTTTATCGCCCATTTGGTGGTTCTTAATTCAAGAGGTACTCGATTCTGGAATTTACGTCGAATAAAATTGAAATTGTTTTATGTGGAAATATTTTTATGTGTTGAACACTCTTTTTGGCGAGAAAGGCAGTAAGAGGAGCAATTATTGGAATGCGAGGAGTAACCTTAGTTTATATGTCAAGTTTTAAATCTTAAATAAATTTACTAGTCAAAAATGGTGAAATGCAGATTAATCTGTTATAAATTTTAATAAAGGTTTTATGAAACTATTTTTGTAGAATTTTTTAAGGAGACTAATATACATTCATTATATTTTGTAAAATTTAATTTTTAATGTGCATTAAAATTAATATAATTAGTAGTTAATGAATATAATTTAATTTTTAGAGTTTAGTAAATTAATTAAAATAGTATTAATTAAACATAATTCATCATAAATATTATAACAATTTTAACTAATATTATAGCAGTATATAAATTACGCACTAGTTGCATTACTGATACTTTGTAAAACTTTAATTTTATTTTAATGTAGTATAATTGTTATGCATTAATTGCTATGATTTTACTAACGTAATTTATGTTATATTAGAAAAGGGAAGGGGAAAAATGTGTGTGGCTTGAACACATTCGGCTGATCAATGTTTATTATTTTTTACCAACACTTAAGAATGTTTTTGCACGTAACATTGTAAACAGTGAAATTTTGATTGATTTCATTATTTGATTTCTTTTGTTAATTTTATTGCTCATTGTTGTGTAAAATCTACGTAAAAGAATAAAATAATTTATCCACCTTTATTTAATATCATTCATTTCTTTAATTTCATTTAAAATCTTATTATCGAGTCTCAAAATGAATGTCCAACACTAGAGTCGGATTTATTCCCTATTGTTTAATTCTCTCATTCTCATTCCCATACAGTTCACACCGAAGCGAATTTCACACGCCCTCTTATTCGAGTCGTTACAAAATAGGGGACTTACTAGTTTGGTGAGAAAGAGTTATGGAATAAAACATTTTATTTGCAGCAAGAGAAACTTGATGATAATTACATATAAACTTAAAATATTCAACCTGGATATAATATTTTTTCTTAAATACTATCATTTTTAATACCTAATTTCTTTTACTTAGAATATTTACTAGAGCAATTACTCTGAATAAAAGTACCAAATTACTGGGACAAAGACCAAGCGCTAATTAAAATCACGGTTAATCCAGAGAACATGGGAAACAGGTATAAACCGCTGTAGAGTTCCTCACTTTGTAATTCTAAGTTACTGTTGGAAGTGAAGAATCTTAAGAACTGATAAGCGAATAATGGCTTGAGTTCGTGCGACAGGAAACAACAAGATAGAAGGGTAAACTAACCTTTTATTATTCCAATTAAAGTTTAACAAAACTTCATCTTGGAATGCACAATAAAGCCGACACTTCGGCTTGAACTTAAGATACTAAGCATTAACCTAAACTAATTTAAACTAAAGAGGTATAGTCGGAGCTATCAAAATTCTAACCGAGTTGGCCCCTTAAAGTTAATAGACTGCGAAGTTATCAAGGGCCTAAAGTACGGTCGAGCGGGATAATAGCTTACGAAAGAGTAGCCTAAAAAGGCGGACGCGTGCAGCCAGAATATTTGGTATCTCTCTCCTTAAGACCGAAGAACTTCGCGGTTAAATACCTCTTTTCCTCACAATGTATTCAGACGTGATTCTAAAACTACGTTCTGCCCGGAAGTGTAAGTTGAAGTTAAGAATCGATAGGAAAAGAATTTTAACTCAAAATTGAACTGTTAATAAAATTAACATAATTCTTACACCGCACTACAATTAACAAAAAATACCATTAAGAATTTACCTGAGTTTTCAAGCTGTTTAATCTAGATCTACTTGGCTACGTAAATAAATCAGTATTCATAATAAAAATAATGCGGTTTAAATGATGGAAGATTAGACATGATTAAAAATGAATATAGTAAGTTATAAACGGCATTAAAGCATAATCTTTACAAAAAACCAATTTCACAGAGATCAAACTCGCATAAAAATCGGCTAGTATTTATCAAATCGATAATCTTTTCACTTAGAGGATTAGCAGACAGGTTCCAGTTAATCCACCCTGGTAAATCGGATTTGACTGCATTTACACAAGGTTCAAAATAACTACTTCCTTTTATATTTATGACTACTAACTATTGATTTTAAAACTCTTACTCACCTAACTTCTGGTTCTGGTGATGGGGGTCTCAGAGTGTTCGAATCTGTGCTTCCCAGGCTGTCGCTTCCTTTGACAGCCTTTGACCTCTGCAGCGAAGACTGGCGGCCGGATCGGCTGGAAGGAAGACCCCTTTTGTTCGGGCAAGAATCCATGGGAAGTGTGGATTTATTGCAATAATCGTCATATTCAGGTTCCGTAGAAGAACTCTCGTCCATGTGCCGTATGCGTGGACGTGCACAACCTAAAAGAAAGTAACAGTAATTGAATTCTAAGACAGAGTTTGGGAAATTCAGCACTTCGCATAGAATCATTAAGTACGGGATGTAGATATGATGAAAACTTTGCAGGGATATGTTGTCATCCTTCCACTGTATTAGAGAATAGGAATGGATAAATATACATCTAGCATTAATAAAAACAAACTTCTTCTCTTGGGAAGGGGATAAAAGATCGGTAAATTATTTTCCACATAATTTTTTACTTATCACGAGAAGATCTAGGATCTTAACAACTTTATTAATAATTGATAAAATTGAATTAAACTTTTACATATGAAATCCATAGAAGTGTGAAGTTTGGAAATTGCTAATATTCAGGTTGCCAGCTCACCTTTTCATTTGCAAGCCAGCTCTCTTTTATTCCGACGGAAAAGTGAAACAAACTTCACCATAATAGAGGTATATGAATTGCAATCATAATCGACGATTTTTATTTTGAAAATTACGGTTTTGGCTTTCATCTCTCCCTGTTAAATGGAAGAAATGGAAAAGCAAATCAATGAATGCCAGTAACACTATAGATGCTTCAACAAATTTTCGAGATTTATTTAGAAATGAAAATGGCAAAATATCCTATAAAGCTGTCTATCAACCCATCCAATAATCCTTCCACAATAATGCACATGTTAATGAACATTTATGTTAAAAAGAATCTGGAGAATATTGTACGAATATCTGTCTATCTGCATCACTACAAAAGCCAGCTCTTTAGCGACTTTATGTATAAGCGGTTTCTGAGGAGAAACGTGCTTGCTTGGCTTTTTTTGAAGCTCATAGGTACTGTTCTGTTTATAAATAATAAAAAAAGAAGCATTTCATAAGAAACAAGAAATATTATAAGAAATATAAAACATCTAATGCGCTAATCAGCAAAATAGCTGTTAAATGTAAAGCAGCACTTGTGTGACAAACACATATGCACTTGCATGGTTTGATTATTTTCGTTTGAATGTTCATAAATGCGCAAGATTACTGCTGTTTTACCGTATGGTGAAGCCGGGAAGTGGATAATAAGAAAGTAGCCGCTGAACATTTTGTACTATCGTGTAATATAAAATATCAGATTTCAGATAACAAATTGATCACTTGTATGATTAGCCGAGTGCTGACCATTCTACGAAGTCGTCGCTAATCACCTCAAGAATATGTGAAGTGCTGTAAAATTCAGTATGCGATATTCCTATGAATTAAACTGTGGGAGTTTATTTAATGTATTTAACAGTTAATTTTATTCTGAAGCAAACTTTCCTATTGCTCTCGCTTTTAACCCACGTTTTCTTGCCAGAATATAAGTGGGTTGGCACACTTGTATTTAAATGCGGTACAGTACAAAGTCCGAAATCCGGACGTCCATTATCCGGAATGATCTAAAATCCGGACCTCAAAACCACCAACAACGTTTTCTCGTAGGCTTTACGCGTGCGCATTTGATTCCCCCCCCCGCGCATAATAAAACATCTGGAGAGTCCCGATTCTTAATTTCACTTCGTCAATAAATAAAATTCCTTGTTATTGAAGAAACAATCATTTTAGCCTAAATTTGTACGATCAGTAATTTGGCTCCGTTGCTGCGTATCTGCTTGGCATACATCTCAAACCGAAACATTCCACACAGATACATCGTTGATCTGACGCCAACCTGGCGAATAATTATTTATTACACTTCCCTTTCATCACCGCATGTTTATCAAACCATGACAAATTGAGTAATGACTCATGTAGCAATGCCTAAACAATTTTTTATGCTAGTAATTGAATAATAAAGGAGTTTGGTACCTCGTATGTTGACATGCTTGGCGATGATTACAAATTTAAGTTAAATGCGCTAAAAAATGATGACAAGAAAAATTTTACCAAAATGTTTTTTCCATATGCTTAAAATAGATTTTGTTGATGATACTCATAGACTCAAAGTTTACATTTAGGGCTATTTGAATTAAAAATAACTTATTTGTTATTCACATAAACCCAGAACCAGAGCCCGGGCTCATATGGCCGCACCGAGCCCCAGAATTTAGGACCCACAAAGACTGCATCAGGCGACAAAATATCTAGCGCCAGCCCTCAATAAGGCTATGTGGGAATTTATTTATTCAGAACTCTGATAAGCCTTAAGCATGTGTAAGAAATATACATAAGCATAATAAATAACTAAACCAATACAATTCAGGCTTAATTATCTCAATGCGCGATAGAAGCAAGATAAAATTTAACGGACTTTGTCGCTAGTCGCCAAGCTCATGATGCATAGCCAAATATGTATAGTGAAAGATAGCTAAATTTGATAATGATAATCGCTGATTTTAAAGGTTTTCCGATATCGCAAAACAACGGTGAAATTTTCCAATTAACGGATTAAGAAATATGGAGAAGCGGTAATAAATGAAGATAATGTAAAAGAAGTTTTTATATCATGAATGACGAAATCTGTAGTATGATTCTAGATCCAGAAAATACCACTACCGGTAGTGAAGAAAGTCACAGAGAAGTTACTGAAAAACCAGAAAATTTCGATTGATATGAAAAATTTGATAAATTTGATAATGATAATCGCTGATTTTAAAGGTTTTCCGATATCGCAAAACAACGGTGAAATTTTCCAGTTAACGGATTTTATAAAGAAATGGGGAGAAGCAGTAATAAATGAAGATAATGTAAAATAGGTTTTTCATTGTGATGACAATGCTTCTCAATCATCAATCAGTTAATGAAGGGCGAAATCTGTAGTATGATTCTAGATCCAGAAAATACCACTACCGGTAGTGAAGAAAGTCACAGAGAAGTTACTGAAAAACCAGAAAATTTCGATTGACACGTTATTCGGAATTCTCGAAACAGCAGTTACAAGACTTCAACAATGTAACTAAACAAGAGATTATGTCTGTCTACAGAATTAAAGAGAAAGTATTAGCACAAAAATCGAAGCAACTTAAAACAACGTACATTGTAAGAAATGTTTAATGAGGTAAATAAATAAATATTAAGCTTTTTTTATAAATTTTGATATTAGATCATAGATACTTTATTATTTCATTCATATTTTTAATTTTATAATTTCTACCTGCCATCTTATTAGATTTAAACTGATGATCTATTAACCGGAAAAAATCCAAATCCAGAATTGCCGAAGTCCCGATGAGTCCGGATTTCGGACTTTGTATTGTATAAAGAAGTTAGTGTTTAAGGGAGGGTTTGGAAGGTGATTTTAGACAGTGTTCTGCCTGCCTGAATTACATTGTTGTCTTTGATTTACTAGCGATTAGACTTCTATGGCATTGAGCGCTTCCAGCCATTGAGCTTGTTTACGCCAACTTTTGTGAGTCAGAGATGGCCTGCGCGTTAAGTAACTGCGAAAATCCGTTAGTCTAACTTAATTATACTCTATTTTAAGGTACTTGTTACTTTTTGAGTTAAGCCAAAACTATTGGCTTTTGTAAGCACGAATCGATGCCATCTGTGACGCAAACATAGTCCATTATTATACAATCAAAATATCACGGTGACAATATTATGGATTGCAAATAATGTGATTCACCTTTTATTCTTGAAGCCTAGACAGACGAACATAATGTGAATAAGATCAAAGAATTTCAATGAAATTTGTGACTGCTAAAGGCCAAGAGAGTAATGAATACTACCAGGAACGAATAACTACTTGAACCGTGGAATACAGCATCATACAAACAAGTGTTGCCAGTTTGCATGAATTAAATGTTTATTGGATTATAAAAGACAGTTTTATTTCCTGCCTGAAATATCTGACATTTTTATATGACGTAATAAATATTTGTTTAATTCATAATATTTTAACAAATATTTTCTCTCTTACCTGTAAGGCCCTTTGTTTCCGCTGTATCCCTGAGTGATGGTAACATCTCTGGAGTGAAAGCAACCTCCTCTTGTTCACCATTCTCCTGCGCATCCCGAATGGGCTCAAAATGAGTGTGGTCTCGAATCTCGATGGTTAAATCCTCGTCCTCTTCTTCTTCTACGTAAAGATCTTCCTCTTGTTCGCTCACCGAAGGAATAAGACCTGGTCTTCTCCTAGAAGTGATGCTGGAAGGAGGAGTTGCCTCTTCTGAAGAGTTTAGGCTGGATAGCTGTCCTGGAGAATCTGAAGGAACAAATCAAAAAGTAACTACCTTGAGCATAATATTAAGAGAGAAGAGAGGAAAAGTATTAAAACTGGTCAGTTCTCCTGGAGAATCTGAAAGAAGTCTTCAAATAGCAGCTACCACCAGGTAGATTTGAGAAAAAAAATATGAGTACGACTGAAAGAAAATTGTTGGACAGTTGTCCCAGAGAATCTGAAAGAAGGGATCGGGCCTCGCATCGAGGAAGATGAGAGGATTCAAAGAAGAAAGCGATTTCGCACATATGCATACACTACGATACAAACCTCGCAATGTTTAAAACTTGCCTTTGGAATATTTCTCTGGGTTGGGCAAAATAATTGCAATTGCAGCTACAATTACATTGTAATTGTAAAATCCAATTACAATTACAATGAAATTACAATGTACTTATAACTATAAAGTAATTGTATAATCTAATTACAATTGCATAGTAATTGTGAAATCTAATTACAATTATAATACAATTGCATATCCATTGTAATTGCATAATTTAATTACAATGTGATTGTGATAATTGTAATTGTAATCGCAACAGGCAATTACAATAACGTAATTAGGAAAGTAATAGCCTCTTATAATTTCTGTTACATAGCCTAGGTAAATCGTGATCATAATTGAGAATTACAGTAAATGACAGTATATCTGAAATGATTTACCATTCTGGATAGCGAGTTATTAACAATTCAAAGATATATTCACATATAAGAAAATAATTAGTATGTTCCTTCTAGAATACTCCTGCTTAATTTTTGCATTAAAAGCAGCTTCTAATAGCAACGTAAAGTCTAAATTAATATTGTGTTATATACCATATATAATTTCAGTAAATATGTAAAAGGAAAACTGTTAAAGCGGAATGTATTTACACGAATTAATTTCAGCTGTTTCATATAGAAATAAAGACAAGTAACTTTAATAAACAAATATGCTTGTTTATAATGCTCGTCGAGAGATATGTGGATTTGAACTTATTTGAGAAAGGAAAGCAAACAAAGACGCTTTTGGAAAAACATGCCTCTATGGAGGATCTGTTAACAGAACTTTTTTTTTTTTTTACATTACACAAGAAATAAATCATGAAAATTTCATTTAGTTTTCCCGTTTAAATTCCATTTTTCTATCTTAGCTGGTAGAAACATGATTCTGATCCATTATTGTTCTATTTAATTGCTATGTGTACTAAAATTTTCATTAAGGCTGTTGATTGCAAATTAGCTTATTATTTTTTAGATAAATAGTTAAAAAAGCATTATTTACTTATAAATGATTGCACCTGTAAGATTTATTTTCTAGAGATTCAGATAAAAATAAACTAGCATAATTTTATTACCTGTAGATGAGTGTTCCGTCAGAAAGTTAGGTTATACGGATTATGGCAAAGCATACAAAAGCTATTTGCCGTAGGAGAGAGATGTTTTAGTGCAGGACGTTCTAAAAGAAACTGGCAGGTACTTACATTACAGTGAGAACCACGAAAAGGCCTATAAAGTCAGGCCGTTCGCCGAAATTTAAACCATGGTCAAGCTAATAATATCAACGGTCTTACCTCTCGGCGCTGATGGACGCCGAGTACGGAAATATGGCCTTATATTCCATCCTAGGTCATCCTGAGCAATTACTGAATTAAGTTCAACTTGCAGTAATGATATTAACTATTACATAGTACCTTTATTAAATACAATCCATGATTTCAATAAATAGTTAAAACACATTATTTTTACAAATGAATGCTCCTCTCTGAACTAGTTTCCATAGTTTGATATAGAAATAAAGGGCATAATAATATTAATAGGAAGTGTCTGAAGATGATGATTACCAGTAGAAAATTGTAATTATTTTCTGTACGAGACCTCCTGCGTAATTGTTGAATGAAATTCAATTTGCAGTAATGATATTAACGATGCAATAAGCTTTTATTAAATATAAAACCATTTTTTGATAAATAGTTAAAACATTTTATTTCTTACTGGTGGGTGCATCTGTTCAAACTAGTTTCCATAGTTTCAGGCAGCGGCAGAAAAATGGGATTATTTACTTCTATAATTATTGAGTGAACTAAAATTTGCAGTAAAATAACTTGAAATAGACTTTTATTAAATATAACCCATATTTTTAATAAGTAGTTAAAATACAGTATTTTTCACAGTTCGATACATTTGCCCGAACTAGCTTTCATAGCTTCAGGTAGAAATAAATAAGAATAATATTATTAAGAAACCTTGGCATGATTTTTCTATCCGAGACCATCTATCTTAATTAATGTACGAATTGCAACTTTTATAAAAGGGTATTAACTATGAATTAAGCTTTTATTAAATACAAAATATATTTGCAATAAATAATTAAAAGTAAGTTTTGTTGCAAACGAATTTCTTTTGCAAGAAATATTTTGAATAAAAAAGTAAGTGTATGTTTGTTAGGAAAAGGTACTTATTGATTGCCTCTTTAATTTTAGGGCGCCAGAGCGTATGCAAATGAGGGTTCCTTCCTAAAGGACTCTCTAAGAGAAACTTGTTTGTATTCCATAGAAGTAAACCCATGAAGATAGCCAAACATCTAGATTGTTCATTGGAATTCGGACACGTATAAATCTACAGGTATTAAAAATAAGTCTTTATCTACTTGGTTACCACAAAACCAAAAATTTAATTCTTTTGCAGTTATATTTTAATTCTAATTGTTATTATACTATAAATGCATTAATTATAGTATTAACTAAAGTAACTACAATGAATCACCAACTTTGTTCAGTTAATAAAAGATAGCTTGCATTTTAAGGATATATTATAAAGATCCCGTGTTTTGTCGAATGACAATATTCTGAGTAACTACTATATGCGAAGGCACATGAAAGTTTAATTAAGATCTTACATTTCGAGCACTGACTTCAGTCCTAGAAAGCTGCTTTTAGATTGTTGACATTCATTTTGTCCATCAATTTCAGAGACATGATCGTGTCTGCAGATTTTCTTTTCCGAGAATAATATTTTATATCTTAAGTAAAAATGATGCGTCTCCCTCAAAGGTGTAAAAAATCGCGAGTACTAATAAATTTAATTGTGATTACATTGTATTTCTAGATAATGTACACATACAGTATAATTATAACTGAATTTATAATTTTGTTGTAGTTGCAATTGTAACTATAAATTTACAATTCCATTATAATTGAATTATCTATAATTACAATTAAGCTGTAATTGTACAATTTATAATACAATTACACTGAAGTTAAATTAACTGTAATTGAAATTACATTGTAATTGAATCTACTGCAATTAAAATTGCATTGTAATTGTACGATTTATAATACAGTTACATTGTAAATGAAGAAAATTGCAATTACAATGTAACTGCAATTACACTGTAATTGAGTTACTTATATTTACAGTTACACTGCAATTCAGTTATTAAGAAATTACATTGTAATTGATTTACGCCCGAATCTACTGGGTGGTAATGAAGTGCAACAGTAATATCGGTTAGCTTAGTCGAAGATCTTTTTTAATTCTGGACGTTAAGGAAATGCCCTGCCATTGAGAGAACGAGGAACTTCGGGCGATATCATTATTTTTTATTTTTCAAGTATTTCTGGTTCTTGAAATAAATAATTGCTGACAATGAGGAGTTCCAAGCAGCATTTAAGCATTCCTCAATGAATTGACAGTTGAAACATGCGATGGTGGTGTACAAAAACTTGTCTGTAGCTACAGTAAGAGCCTTAATGCCATGGGCACTCATGCTGAATATTAGTCCAAATTGTGTATTTTCAAAACTAAAAGGGTATGTACTTAAACAACATTTTTCTTTTATTTATTATAAAAAAGTAGTTTCTCGATGCTTCTCGTATGTACATTACGTGTAATGAAATTCAATTAATATGATGTTTGACTGTTATATTAAAGTTATATTAATATGAAGTTTCTAAGCCTTAATTTTACCTCTTCCTTCCGATGCTTGGCTGATCGTAATGAGCGGCAAGTCTCCGTTTCCTGTAATGCCTCCTCTTCGGATCCATTTTCGATCGTCTCCTTCAGAGGAAGATCTGTGCGATTCGGTTGACATCGGAGACGGACGTCGGCCGATCCTACAACAACAACATGTTTTAGTGACAGCTATGTTAAACATATTTTCTAATATTTCCTCTGCAAAGAATTTTGGATTAAAATGTGTTAGGATTTTTCTATGACTTCAGTAAATGGTTCACCAATGGCCAAGAGGTAAAATTACTGAACAAGAGTACTTCGGCCCGAGGCTTGAATCCCGGCGAACGGACGACTGGGTACATGGGGTTTTTCCCATATGTAACGCATATATGAACCCATGAGAGAGTGATCCACGCAGACATCTCTTCCTTTAGGCAGATAGCCCTCCAGTACTTTTCCATAGTCAAATAAACCCAAGACAATAAGTATTTATTGCTGAAAATTATTTTTAATGGGTTAAGGGACGATTTACATAATGCAACTTTATTTGTGGAGCGAACGTGAAAAATTTAAACTCTATGTATTGTTAATAAAAAATGTCACATGTCAGAACTGCCTGCCTAATTTGATTATTTCTTTAAACTGAGCAATCCAAAAATATATTTGGTCAGGCAGTCTCTCTGAAACGCCCTGTATACGTAACAGTACATAAAGTGTTAAAAACTTCTCATCTTAACTTCAAAATATATGATACAATTACAAATTATGTAACATATTTCAAATGATAACTTTAATAATTACACATCATTTTTAAAATTACCTCCGGCCCCGCCAAAAAGATTGTCAGCTAACATTCTGATATTACAAACGTCTATTATTTAGTTTCACAATTTCTCGGTTGTTATGTTACATTAAGCTACCAAGGCTTATCCTATACATGGTCTGCCAACGTTTGCGTTCCACCAGACAGAAATCTTTAGTTTATCATTTACATGGCTTGGGCAGTTGCCAGTTCCTATCAGAGTTGCAACTGGATGGCATAAATTCTTAAATTTATGTTTCAAATTAAAACAGATTTTTTTCTTTAACAAACTAAGCGACTGAAAAGAAACAATACATGCACACATCCTCGATAAATTGGTTTTACGTTTACTGGCACATCTCGATAAATTGTCTTTACTTTTACTGTTGAACGGAAGTAGTAATACATTTTATGAATATGATTTAAAATATACCTAATTGCTAGCTTTTCTGTACATTTTATGAATATGATTTAAAATATACCTAATTGCTAGCTTTTCTGATCATTTAAATTATTATGATAATCAAAAAATTTTTTTCTGACGCTATATATTACATGTCTTGGTACACGCAGTGAAAATTTTCAGTTTTCATTCCGGAAAAGAATAAGGAAATCAGTTTTAACTGTGGTTTATAAAGAAATTCGTAGACAGCATGTTCCGAAAATATACTTTAGATAAATAAACATGTAATGTATTTTTTCCTCTAATATATGTTTTTGGATTAAGAAGCATATAGATAATTAATATGTACAAAATGCGGATAATTAACACGCATATTTTCGGAACCCAACTTTCTCGATATTTTCGATCTTACCTATCCTTGTGATACCCGTGCTCTTCTCTGTGGGCTTTCTTATCTTCCGTACCTACATACTGCTCATCCGAGGACTGGATACGTTTACCTACATCGAAACGAAATACAATTGGAAATAATTAAAAATTCAAAGAAACATCAATTTGTACAAATTCCTTGTAAGTATTTTGATTAAAAAAAGTTACTGCAGATTTACTAGAAGACACTTCTTCTAAACTAACTAGGTTTTATTTTACTAAAATATTTATTATCACCAAGTAGAAAGTTTAGCAAAAGAATATTTACATTTCTCGTTTTATTGATATTTCTATGATTAGTTTGGATTTAAATTATTTAAAAATTTACCTTGTCATTTCGGATCCCTTATGTTTATCATACTTTTGCTCTTTCTGACAGAAAAGAGGATTTAGCTATGAATCCACCTAATCATGTTATTTGATTTGCTTTTGAACCTGAATTATATTTCCCTGGTGCCAAACAACACTATAATTCTAGAGATTTAGAACTGCAATGCGCAAGAGATCGTTTTCGAATCGGTCTTCGCTGATGTTAAATATTCTTAGTAGTCTGCTGAACAAAACAAAGCAGAGGGCCAGGCCATTCATTCATTTTCCCCGTACCGTGCGCTCTGTTTTCATTCTGTTGTTTTCGTAGCCATGAATGCAATGACTTAAGATGCAGTTAGATTTTCCTTCCTAAAAGAAACAAGGTTGGTACATTATTTCCGCTTTTTTTCCACTTATCAATTACAAAAACTAAATTAATTTTTCCTAATTTTTAAATTACTTTTGCATACTTTACTGAAGCTCGAAACTCTGTGCTTAAAGACTTCATCATGATGCCCAAGTTAGAATTTGTAGGAATTCATAATATTCTAATAATATGCCATTTTCATGAAAAATGGCGGTTTTGAAGAACCCATGAATGAAAGGCTATTTCTGTACTCTTTTCAAATAAATTTATTCGTATCTAGTTGTTAAAGAACGCCTTGAAACCAATAGTGTTTCGATATCTAAACGGTACGCTAAATAATATTGTTAACAAGAAAGGAAGAAAAATAGTTTGGATTCAAGGGGAAAAATTGTTCCAAACACGTTATCCAAGGAAACAACGGAATGTTTCGAACGTTGCAAAGGTAAGAATTTTAATGTTAAAAGAGAATTCACCAAATCAAAGGATAGTTGCAAAATCATTCAAATGCTCACTGTTAAACTATAACCAAAGTGATTCAAGTTGATCTGAATCTTAAAAAGGGATAAAACATGTTATTCATCGTCTTTCTTCACGACAAAACGCAGAACGCGCTGCAGACTTCTTTATGAGAAATATTTATCCGGAAAAAAAAATGAAAAATGTTGTTACACTAGATGACTCTTGGGTGCATTTAAATGACTATAATAAAAAGAAATGCATTTATTGTCATCAAAGGGGAGAAAAAATTTCTGAAGTCATGGTTCAAGGAATTTAGAGAAAATATTTCAAAGGGATTTAGGATTGTTGCTGATTTTTCTTATAAAGAGAGTGAAACAAAATGTTAAAATCAACTTCATATATTATTAGGAACATATTTTACACCCAAGTTTCAAATATGAAACACATTCTCTTTAGCCACAGGGCCATCCATCAGTAGAACGGTTTGCTGTTGAATTGAATTTTATGTGGCGTAAGTGCGAAGGCGATGATATTTTACTAAATAAAGTTAACGCACCAAACGTTAATAATAAAGGGAAAAATTTTTTTTGCAAGCAATTTTAATTGATTGATATAATGAACTGAAAATCCTGAAAAAAATAGCAAAGTGTATGCCAATGCTCCGCTTAAAATTTAGTAGTTTTGTAGTTTTTACTGTTGAACTGTACATGAGGCGTAAGTACGAAGATAATGATGCTTAGTAATTAAGCTAAAAACACAAAAAATGGATCTAGCAGAAGTGAGGGAATCAGCAGACTGGTAGACTGCGAGCTCAGTGATAGCATAAAAAAACCTTAACAAACCCTTTTGGGAAACCATTAAAATCTGCACCCTTTCAGATTTCACTTTTTCTCAGTTTTCTTTTTATAAACCTGGAAAGTGTTTGACCAGAATAGAATTGTGGGACGGTATAAATGAGTTATTGAGCTTTTTCTGGCCTAAGATGCTGAATTTTCTTCAGAAGTTTATTCTTTAGGTCTTTATAAAATATTAAGTTCACCAGAAAATATGGTACTTGGGAAAAAAGCCATTGTAAATTATTCCTCTCCAATCAAAAATTGTTACCAAGATAATCTTTAATCGAAGATTTCTGAAACCGAAGTTTCTGTGGCAATACTGAATCTTTTCTATTCGCAGCAGATGATCTCTGTTTTGTCTCAGGGTCATGAGTAAAGCTCTAAATTTCATCTCCACTCATAACTTCTTTGAAAAATGGTGCAGTTTTTCTCGCTTTTATAATAAAATATCATTGTTATTTTTTGCTCAAGTTTCGAATTCGTGACAGCAGATGCTCACTAGATCCAAGAGAACGATTCATTGCACATAAAATTCGGTTTGTAAGTAGACAATATTGTAAGAAAAGCAAGTTGACATGCAGCAGTAGTAAATGCTTAAATTATGTTTGCTGAAATTTTTTAAAAACGTTAGTCCTAAGACTTTGCAGACTGTACATAAAAATACATATAAATGATCATACAAATGTTTTGTGCACTGGGGACATTCAAGTGCCCTTCAGTGCGTACAGGCGTAAGGTTTTACGCAGCGGAAGTGTAATCCTTTTCAGTTTTAGTACAACGCTGCGTAAAATTTATGAATAAAATTAACAATTAAGAACATTTCGTCCCTTTGGAGAAGAAACATGTTTATGTAAACATTATGAATGCTGGACTTTAAAATTCTAAAAGAATGGTCGGAAAACATTTTTGATATCAGCTTCTATCTACTCATTATTATTTTACTGTGAGTAAAAACAATTTTTTAAAAGACACTAAGAAATAGAGACAACATTTTAAATTTAGAATTTCGGAAAAACGTAACTTATCCCCCTTTTCTTTTGCTTAAGATAACATTAATTATCATCTTGGGAATATTAATATAAACTTTCTTATGTTACAATTTTAAAGCTATATGATTAGAATTTCGGCAAAACATCAACTATTTCTCTTTTTTTTTCCATCAAGAGCTCATATCTTGTGAACATGATTATAAATTTTCTTAAATTACTTTTTAAATGTTTTTTAAATGAGTTTTTGAGAATTTCGAGAAACATAACTCATTCCCCTTTTTTCAATCAACTTTACACTAAGTTTCCGTCTTATGGGTAGGAATATAAATTTTTCTCTGATATTTCTTAAAGCCAATTTTCTTAGAATTCCCAACAATCGTAAATTAATTCTCTTTCTTCTATCATTGTGTACAGAAATTTAAACTTTTCACATTAAACGGAAGAGAAATTTTGCCAATATAAAATTAGGAAGAAAGCAACTCTATTTTGACTTCCATTTTGAATGAAGAGGAAACATTTTTTGCTCTTATGCAAAATTGTCTTTGCTCATGAAGAAAAGTTACCTATGTTTGATCCCCGTCGCAATCGATAGAATTTCATTCAAAATTTATGCTGAAATAAGGTTTTTGCTTTGCTTAATTTTAAATCTTCTTGAATTATTTTTTAAAGCGATTATTTTAAAATTTCGAAAACGTGCAACTATTTTTCCATATTTTTTAACAAATTTACACGAAACTATAATCTTGTGGACAAATATATAAACCTTATGTTGGTTCTAAAATTTCTACCTTCTCAAGTCATTTTATCAAAATCAAATTAGCCTAAAATAAGCAATAAATAATATTTTAGAAATGAGCAATAAAAAAAGCAATAAATAATATTTTAGAGATTTAATAAGCAATAAATGCTCATTAAATCTCTAAAATATGGAAAAGAAATAGACTAAGAGGCCTAAGACTTGCTTTTTTTAGAAGGAGTATCATGACTATCGTCCGAGTCGTCTCCGAGTAACTGGCTGGATGGTCGGAATTTGTTCGGCAGCACTGGAATTATTTTCTTTGCAGAAGACCATTTTGTCAAATCGTCCGGCAATTCCACCGCTTCCGGAGCTATGAAACATAAATACAAAAGACAACACCATGTTAGAAATGAGATTAAATTGTAATAATGAATAACATACTGATGAGACAAAAGTTTGTTTCTACTCTTATGCGTTTTCTGCTCGCTTTCGTACTATTCTTCAATCAGCATTTTAAACAATTAAACACAGAACCTTAAACCAGATGAATTACATGCCAAGGATTAATATTGGTTTTGCAAGAAAGTTATTTCCGTTTGCACAAATAGATAGCATTATCTTTCTGTGTATCTTACATATATGTACATGAGCTTATGATATTTGAGATTTGGCAGCTTATACTTTTAGTAACAAATTACGTGCATTTTTGCTTACAATTGTTATTTTACGGTCAAGTTTTTACAGAGTATGTAAAAATAACATTTTTGACATATTTCACTTATTTATTTTTATAAAGCCAAGACAGTGGCCGAGGCCCACAAAGAGGTGTCTGATATTTATAGTGTTGTTACTGAACAGAAAGCATGTGTCAGGATTGATTTAATTTTTTTTTTTCTGGAGATTTTCCACTTGAAGTTGACCAGTGTTCTAGCCGACCTCTGAAGTCGATGACGGCAAAATTAAAGTAATAATTGAATCGAATCGTCATGTAACTCTGCGAGACATTCCAAAATAGTTAAATGTATCACACAATTGAAAATCACATGTCTTGGACTCGTCAAGAAGCTCGATATTTGGTTTCCGCATGAACTGAAAGAAATTCATCTAGCGCAATCAGTGTTTGCGATACGCATTTCAAACGTAGTGTAATTGGCCCTTTTTTGAAATGAATTACCACTGGTCATGAAAAATGGATCGTCAACAGTAACAGTAATCGAAACAGATCTTGGTTCAAGCATGATGTATCAGCGTAAATCATATTGCTAAATTGCATCATATAAAGAACATGCTGTCAATTATGTGGGATTGCAAAGCTGTTGGATAATTTTAGCAGCTTTTAAGCAACCAAACGATCATTTCAGATGTGTACTGCCAACAGCTTATGAAACTCGAGGAAGCAATAAAAGGGACAAAGCTAAAATTGGCAACTCTCAAACGATTGTCATGTATTCCACCATGACAATGCGAGGCCTCGCACATCTTTAGCAACACGTACGAAATTACTGGAGCTTGGCTGGGAAGTGACGTCGTATTTCTTATATGGCCCTGACCTTGCCTTCGAAGTTTACAAAATTCCCTAAATGGCAAACATTTTAGTAGTAACGATGACCTCAAGTCATACTTGATTGAGTGTTTTTCTAATAAAGACCAGAAGTTTTATGAGCGTGGAATCGTGAAGTTACCAGAAAGATAGCAAAAGATCATCGAAAAAACGAAAAATATTTGATTGGATTAAAGTTCATTTTTTGTATAGCAAAAGTTGAGTTATATTTCCACTAAAAAAACCGAAATTACTTTCTTACCAACCCGATATTTAAAGAAATAAATTCGATGTTTATCTTTCTCAAATATTTTACAGAAGTTTAAATTCATATGTAAAATGTATGAAACTAGTAATTTCTCTAGAATTGTCAAAGGTTTATGGCCATAATTGGCACACACACGATCTCAAAATAATGCAATAGAACAAACACGTCGGTTAATTTCAAAAATTTGGACAGAAGAAAATGAAAAAAACTCACGTTTTTCTTCTGTTTTTGGAGGTTTTTCTTTTTCGCTTTTTTCCTGAAAAAAAAAAAAAAAAAAAAAAAAAACTTTGTTAAAAAAATAGAGTTAACTAAGAACAGTTTTGTTAGCAAGATAGGCAATAGTATTATACTATAACTGATTAAATTGTTTGTTTTCAATAAGTTAAACAAGCATCTAATTCAGTGTTTGCAAGAGATTTTTTTTTAAGCAAGAAGATTGTTTCCCACGCCCATGGTTACAAATGCTGCGGCCGCGCGCTCCACCTTGTGTTTTCTGCTGTGGGTATTGCAAGTGATTTCGAAATGCTACACTTTGCGTTTATTATTTTGCTCGTATGCAAGACTGCACTACAAGTTTTATGGAGATTCTAGTCGGGAATAGATTTGCATACTTAACTGATCATTTATGGAATTCGAAAATGTTGTGCAATATACAATTCAATAAAGTTTAATTTTAGATAATATAAATTAATTTTTGTTATGAGACTAAAAAGTTTCTGTTTTGCGGTTAAAAGATTAAAAAGGGACAGCATGCGGATTTTGGAATTAAAACCTTACTTTAGTAGACTGCAGATAAAAGATAAAGCCGTTTGTATAAAACAAGCTATTATAATAATATATTATAACACACAAATATTTAAGAGAAGCAAAAGATTGAAACTTTGTCACATTTGACGTGCTTCTTGACAAAAGGGACTGAAAAAAAATGCATTAAAATGAAAAGTAAACCAAAACATAAATGTTTAAATTTCTGACATTTTTAGAAAGTCTCTACATTTAGAAAATATCATGTAACATCAAAAGCATTTTAAACAATATAATGCTTGATATTTAGGACTTACTCTTCTTAGCTGCATTTTGAGGTCGTTGTTCGCTTCTCTCAGAGAACCCGTTAGAGAAAACAAGTAATATATAATTAATCTGAAAAGTAAATAAACATTTAAATATATAAACTGTATTGAAAGCAATCTTTCAATTACTTCTTTCAAGTATACAAGAAATATGCTAAAAATTCTATTAGAACTTTCAATTAAAACTCAAAGAAATGTTTTCAATGCTTGTAGAAAACAAGAGTAGTATAATGTATATATATAATACTACAGGATGTCTCAACTTACACGTATATAAAGGTGTACAAATTTCTAGCAGGGTCGATTGCATAAATAAAAAACGGAATCACATAGCAACGTCGGGAATACCATCTTCATGCATTGTTTGGCCGCGAGAATGTACGTACTTTTTAGGACACCAGCATTTGTGAATTTTATGATACCTTCGGCTTCGCCTGGAAGATTATCATACGTAACCTTCCTTGATTTGAATTTATGAGATTATTTCAAATATCTCATGTACAGCATTTTCAATGAAAGCATGTGTCTCTGTAGGCGTTTGGAAATCAGAGACCTTCCAGTAATACCAAAAACCTTCTGCATCCTGAATGCATTTTGAAAATGTTTTGTGAGTAGTGAAAAAACTTCATATTCTCTTATGTGCTGATGCTTTATTGCTTGTCCTTTCTGCGCACAAATGTATGCAGATGGTGTTTCCAAGTCTGCATTGCTATGATTTCATTTTGTTTTTGTGCAGCATACACTTCCCAAAAATTTGCCACGCGTAGATGAATTGTCCTATGGAGCAGGTCTATTCTAGTTGTTTTTCTGCAATAGTTTTCTGCATTAGCAATTTTATGTACCAGCTGTTTATTTTAGATCTGAATATGATATTTGAATTCGATTAGATTATGTTTTGAATTAATATATTGTTGCGTGCGTATGGATTCGTAACAAATCGAATGTACAAGTCCGATAATAGGCTAATAAAATTTATTCTTATAAAAAAGAATATTTAGGAACTCTAATATTCGTGCAATTGTTCACAGTATCACACAATATAATCTGTAGCTACACTTCAAACTATTAAGAACGTTAAACAAACACAATGCAAACTCGGATTTATCTCAACTCAAGCGGAACTACAAATCGCAACAACAATAAGCAGCTGAACTCTGTTCTCTCTCTCTGGCCTTTTATAATTTTTAACTGGCCGCCAAGATATTTCTAGTACTTTCTGCTTCTCCAAATTACTGGAAAGCAATAAGAGTGTGGAATTACGGTTACAGCTAGCATAATAGTGGTCAATTACATTTATTCAATTTCAATACATATTACAGTGATACAGGGACCGGACCAAAATGTCGCCAAATGAGAGTCAAATTTGGCGACGTTTCGCGATTGCTTGCCAAAGTACTGAGATACCCATTTACTCAATGTTAAATGCACGTGCCCCTGTACTCTTAATTTTCCGGCATAGCTTTCTCTTAAAATTTATCTAACGCTACATTACACAGAAAAATACAATAATTTTACCTATAATTCTTTTATAATTATCTATCTAAGTAAAAAATTCGTAACAAAATATATATATTCCGTTTATGCAAATTATGAATCGTGAATTCTTCAAAGAAATCAGTTCTTCGAACTGAGCAATTCTGTATGCAAGAAAGCGAACGTTGATCGATATAGGTTTTATTTCAGCAGAAGCGTTTTTAGCAATGGAATATTATCGCTTTCTTCAGATAAACCAACTATATTTTAAATAAACCAACTACCTCAAACGGGACGAGAAATCAACAAATTTTTAAAAACTTACTAGAGTCTAATAGTGATATTCTCCGTAATGAAGGGGAAAAGAAAAAAATAATGAAACAAATTAAAGAAAGAAAATTCCTATGAAGAGGATGGCAAATGGAAACAAAATTGATTTTTTTAATGAAAGTGGATGAGGAAAACAATTTAGAATCTAAATCATTGACTAATGTAGAGGAATTTTTATGGACGAGGAAATTTAATTTACCGGGGGGATTTTTTTTTAATGATTTTGGTAAAAAGAAAGCTGAGCTGATAGTCTGCAGACCAACAGTACTGTTTAATAAAGGGTTTATGTGTGTGTTTTTTTCGAACAAAAAATTCACTAGCCTTGGTGCGAAATTTTAAACTTTATTTTGCTTCCTCAGTGTATAGCATGCCTCGTTGATAAGGACTGCTGTCAATTCCCCAGGAATTAAAACTCACGTCTCTAAACGATCTTTAAAGGAATGACTGTGAGTTTTATAGCCAGGTGTAAAAAGGATGAATTTTTGTGTAATATGACGCGGATTTTTGTGTTGTTTTACAGAAAAAAAGAAATAACGACCAAATAATTATGATTCATAGGAGCAAACGAATGTTTATTTTTCTTCTTTTATTAAAATTGGAAATTTTTCAAGTGATGCCGTAAGTTTTAAAGTAAGTTTGAGACGAGAAGCTTCTACGGATTGCAATGACTCTGAAATTGTTCAATCTGAAACTGAAATGTTCCTGATCAAGCGCTGACTTAAAGATGCATACCTTGAATGCACGGAAAACAAAAGTGTAGAAAGAGGTTAACTTTGGCTTGGTGGAAGATGAGATTTGGCTTGCAGTAGCAGATAAAATTTAGAAGGTTTTTGATACAGTGCGATATCAAAATGAAACTATTTCGTGGGGCTAAAATGCCAAGTATCTCAGTTTGGAACTCTTCCATCTCACAGTTACGGTTTTGTAAATTTCTGACATGGTTTAAAGATGGCAAATTTTGAAATAAGGTTTCATGGTGGGGGAAAATGGACTCTAGATATCAAAACCATCAAATAAGACAATAAAGAAGAAGTACTTTTTAGTTTGTAACAAAATACTTTATGACCATCGAATTATACGAAAAAAGGTTCTTGCTTCATACTGTTTATTAATTAAATCTATGACAACCGACTAAATTTTACTTATAATTCTGTTGCATAAAATCAAAGAAAGAATTTCATTCACATTGCTTCCTGTGATAGAATAATGTAACTCGGGAAGACTGAGATATATCAGTAATCACTGTCACTAATTATCATTTGATTACTTCGTAAGGATTGGTTTGCACAAGTCCTAAAGCTTTGTACACGCGTAAAGAAATATTGCATTCTCTTATGCTTAGACTCGTGGTTTAAGTAGATGGAAAATATATCCGCCTAATAACTGTTACTAAAATAGTTAATTTTTCACGCTTCTAGGTTCTGAAAATTTAATGGTGTTGATAATTTCACCCTACATTTCACCAAGCATGTCCCAAAGTATGATCACTGATGTCACTGTCTTGCACTAGTTCAGCAAGGGTGGAACCTACATATTGCCTTGGATATATTTTTGCAAAAAATAGTTATAAAGAGTAGGCGACCACTTGCGGCTTGAGTCTCTTCACTGCATAATTTGCAATTATCAAAATTCTAGTTGGGGATGCTCGAGCTGGCTATAGCATGTGTTCTTGAAATCTAAACCTAATACTCAACTATTATTCAATCGTATCGAAATTAATGTTGTCTATTACTGAACTTTTGTTCCTATAAAGCAAACTGTCTTCACAGACGCTCTGCGTATTCTGCATACATTCTTGATCTTTCGAGAATATCCCAAGAAATTCATTGAAAACAAGCTTCTTCGAAATACATAAAGCTTTCCTGTAAGCAGCGGCAGATTAAGTTTGAATTTTGCCTTATGAACCAGTACTAATAATTATAAAGAGTAAGTCGAATATATTCATTATTGACGTATAAAGGTATATAAACAAGAGAAGAATAAAGCATATCGGACACAGAGCTCACTATATGATATGGCTGTTATTGCCCGCTATCTTATTGATACAGGAAACACCGTGCAGGTTCTCCGCGCTACCTTTCTAAAAGTTTTAATTACACACAGCTTTTAATTTTGATGAATACGTACTCTAACACGAGGATTTGTTTTGTTAACAGTTGCTGCTCTCATGTATCTTGGATTTGGTATTTGAGAATTTATTTTTCCGAAAGGTATAGTTTAATAACCTCATGGGGAATTATAGCGGTGTTTGTCAAACACGCACGCCCACTCTAGCCTATTCGTAGTTAGTATAACATTGTGATATGCTTGTGTTGATGGATATGAGGACAATTCCTGTTCTGCTGTGATTCTTTCACTGAAAATACCATTGTCTGAGGAAAAAAAAAGACATTTTTTCGTAACAACAGGTGGGGAAAGGAAACGTGTTCAAATATGAATCAACTAAATGGAGATTAGTAAGATATATTTTCGCATCTATTACATAAATTATTTCATATGCTTTCCTGCTTTTAGAATCTGAAAGGAAAAAAGTATATTTAGAAATGATATTTACGAATGTTATAAATGTGAGAACCTAGAGCTTCATTTGCATATAACAAATTCAAGTAGTGAAAAATGCATGAGATGCAATTCAGAAACGAACTATTTAATTGATTGATGATACATATTACGTACGTTACTTAACTTTGATTTCCAACTAAAGGCAAAAGAAGTATATAAATCAGAAAGGTCTTTTGATAGTGAAAGTGCACGTACTTTCATTTTTCAGGGCTTCCGTTCCGACAATAAGTTGAAAGTGGACGTTTTGTGCAAAAATTCAGTGTAGGTTTCTTAAATGTTTTTACGGAAGGCTTGTAAGGTCCAGTAAAGGATGCTCGAAAAAAATTCTTAAGAAAGCTTTCTAAATTATGAAGAATTAGTAACTATTATTATTAAATTTGAAAGAATCCTTTATTCGTGACCATTAATTTATTAAAGAATTGGAGATTAAATAATTGAAGTCGCTAATATCAGCACATTTTCTCGCCATCAGAAGTTTAACACCATTACCTTCTGTAATAATAGAAAAAAAACCCAGTCCGTACAAAACGTTTATCAAGAGAGATACAAGTATCATTTCTATCCATCAGAAAAGCTTTGGCAATGATGGGAAATATCATATCAATACGGTTTCCTGATGCTTGCTTTAAAAACCAGTCATCAGATTAAGAAAGGATGTATTTCAGAAGCTTAGATATTAAAATGACCTCATCTCATCTTCTGAAGGCTTCAGCTGTTCTCATCCATAAAGACAACTTATGAAACTGTTGTGGAAGATGGAGGTTGTAACTGAACTGAAAGTCTTACTGCTCGAGATCGAAAAATGCATACACGTAATATTTGCCTAGCCAAAGGTAACACAATACACCACCCAGTACATTTGTTACATTAGTCAGAAAGGCTGAAAAATTATAAATGTAATCTGTAATGAACTTAGTTCACCGGTAAGGGAGGATGCTAAGAACGGATCAAACCGAACATAAACCAAAAAATAATTCTATGATTATAAATACCTATATGAGACGTAGCACACTCGGATATTACATCTCTGGGTTCTCTTAATTATTAGGGTCATATATATTTTCTGCAAATATTTTATAGTTAGAAGTTTGTAAATAATAATGCCAAGCTATTTTATGATTGTGTCCGATTCTTTTACCTTTATTTTGCACTTCTATGCTCGATATACATTAGGAATAAAGTTGACTTCCAGAAAAGTTGCACATGTCCCCTTTCAGGTCTTTAAAATGGTAACTCGAACAAATCTGTACTCTCTAGGAGGGACTTCAATAGTTCGTTAAATGAACGAGATTAAAAGGGGCATACTTTTAGGATGAGTATAACTTAATAACAACAACATAAGATGAATGGTAAGGCATAGGAATATTCTATTCGAAGAATTTTGATGATTGGAGCGCTAATACTATATAAATTTATATTCTTTATGTCTTGAATTTTTCGTATAGTTTTTTCTGCAAGCTTTTATAAAGATATGATGACTAAAATTTACACTTTGACAGATAGAAACTCCATTACCTAAAAATCATACGTGACATTTTTATATGCATATATTTGTAAAACATGATGCTGCATTTTTAAAATCGATAAGAAACTTGTTCTACTATACTTCTTTTCGCAATTTTTTAAATTTTGGTACTTACATGAGAAGTAGTAATAGAGGTATTACGACTCCTGGAGATGTCAAGTATTTGACCACGTCAACCATGAAGGAAGGCAAGGCACTCAAGACGTAGGACGTGAGGACGTTATAAATTCTCTTTTGCTCGCTAAAATGCATATACCAAAACATAATTAGTTTTGTAAAAATGTTAACATAAATAGTTACTAAAGTTAATAAGAAATAAAATCAGTTGTTCAGTTTATTACATTTACGAAAAACAATTCCATAGATCAGCAGATCAAGATATACATAAAGAAATAATAGACTTGTAGCGCAAGATAAGCATAATTTGTAGTATGAGATATAAAATTTTTGTTAGTAGATTTTCAATTTTTCCATTTCTTAAATGAATGCCTGTAACAATGACGCGATTTAATACCATATTTCCTTTCATATTTATTTTTCCTGACATTTAAGCCTAAATGAATTAAAATTCAGTATTACTAAGAATATGCTGTATGTATTTTTAAATTAAGAACATGCAGTGTTATTATGTAGTAGGGGTAACTGGTTTATTAAATCCACTCATATTTTGAATTGCAAAGAAAGAAACAAATGAAGTAATTCTTTACTTAAATTGTGCAATATTAGAACATTTAAACATTTTTAATTGTGTATTTTTAATTTTTTGAAAGGCGTTAGAGATTATTCAGTATAATGAAGTTTTCATCGTCAGCTGTACGTGAGGATTCGTCATTTCGATTTGTTGCCAAATGTTTATAGTAATCATGAATGAATTTTAGCAGGTCCATCATGTCTCTCCCTTATTACTTCCTTGTACGAAGTAAAGAAAGTATATTGTAATCACGAAAAATTCCGGGTAACATATTTCAAAGAAAACATCAATTTTGACCGTCGTTGAATACAATTTAACGATGTTTTGCATGACATCTGTACGTAAGGACAGAATAAAAAACTCATTTTCTCCAAAGGAATTATAAAACTCATCTAAAATGGATTCAGAAAAGATTTTTCGTGGCGTCCGTCCGTACGTATGTATGTATGTATGTATGTATCTCGCATAACTTAAACACGATTAGCCTCATGAAGTTGAAATTTTGTATATAGGACTCCTATAACATCTAATTTTGCCCCTCCCTTTATAAGGTATTTCTCCCTTGATCTGCTTTCCTAGCGTCCCTTCGTGGTGTAGTGGTTTTGCACGCTGAGCCGGTATTCCAGAGGTCCGTGGTTCGATTCCCAGCGAAGGCAGTTGCTATTTTTCATCTTTCCTGCTACCAAAAATATACCTAATGTCTCTATACCTTTTTCGTTGCGATCGGCCGCACCAAATATATATTTTTATACATACATCCACTCTATTACTCAACTCAGTGAGCTCAGTTTTTATTCTTATATGTTGTTAAATTGAGCATTTTTTCCTTTAAAAATTATTTAATTATGTTGTTCTTATCTTCCGGTTATGTTTCTTTATGCCTTTAGTTAATTTGCATACAATAGTTGTAGAATTATCTAGAATTTAAAAGTTGTTTAAGTGCGGTTAAGCCTAATTTTTCTTACCATAGCAGTTACATTTGCTTACATTTGAAACTTAGCAGAATAGTGAATTAAGTCTTCCTCTGTACCTTCAGTTTCTTTTTACCGATGGCAACAAAAGGAAACTTTTAGTTTTGTGCACCAAAAAAATCTTCCTTCTAGCATGCTGGCCGAATGGCTTGTTTTCGGGTAGAAAATCTAATATTTATTGTAAAACGTGCTTTAACTGCATTTAGTGTTTTATCTTTTTCTACATCTTTCAATTTGTAATGAAGATATTTTGACTCGTAGACTCGAGAATTGTTAAAATACCAAATATTTCACCTAAATAAGAATAACAGTTGGCCCTTTCTCGGGCTTACAGCAAGCTTCTACTTAGGACTAAATGAGACTTAGCCGAAGCTAAACACAAATATCTAACGTAATTGGCCCTTAATTTAAACTAGCCAGCGAATGTCGAAAGGCACGTAATAATACCGCCAAGAGTAATAGTTTCAAGATTGACTTAGCTCGAAGGCAAACACGTGTTACTAAGGATTCCTTGCACTCTGTATTGAAGCAAGACACATTTACATTCAACGGGATTCTAAAACCTTATTCTGGTAGAGAGTTGTAAGTGGAAACAAGAATTGATAGGAAAGGTGTTTAAAATTAAAATAACTGTTATAAAATTAAAATGTACCTTTCAAAGTTTAAATGAAATGCAGGAAAAATGCGTATAATTTTATATTCCGTACAAGGAAGCCATGTGATGTACACTTCAAATTTTTTCCCTTGTCACAGTTTTTATCTTTAGGATATAAAATGGGCTGATCGACATTTTTCAAACCTTGTGTTGTTACCTGCTGAAGATTTACTTATATTAATGACATTAAATTATGAATGTTTATTATAATCACATTTGAATTGTATGAGGTGGGGTTCGGATCTTTTAAACTTTATTCAGCCCATTTTTAAGACAGTTTAGTGGAAAACTTGTAACGGTAACACGCTCGACGCGTATCCGAGAGGTCCGTGGTTCGAGTCCCGGCGTGGGCATTGCTCATTTTTCATCTCTCCTGCTTCGAAATAACCTAATGATTCTATACACTTCTGATGATATTTGCATATTACACTGACAAATATTTTTGCAGGTATTAAATTTTCTTTTCTATTATTGCATGCCCAACCTTTTTGTTCTCTGATGATTTTGTAAATTTCGGTCCCAATTGTCAGGATTACAACTTCTTTCCCTCCCAATTAATATGTTTGTTGCAATAATTTTACTGTTCAATCAGGAAAATCCGAAGAAAAACACAACCTCATTTATTTTACTTTAATTCGGATAAAATGGCACTAAAAATTTACCGTTATCTTTCAGCATGTGCCACTGAATTTGAGCTGAATTATTTCAAGGGTTTAAATAAAAGTACGGAGTTAATCAAAATGTTTTCTAAAATAAATTATTGATTATTCAATAGCCAAAAATATTTTGTCTTTTAATGGTGTTAATCTTTATTATTTGGGAAATTGATTATAATTATAAACAGCTATGACTTAACCAAGAGCTTTGACACTAAAATTTAAGATATTTCAAAAAGTGGAGTTAATCGATTTGTGCAGCGAACGGCTCATATGTTAATAATAGCACTGTTATTCTGAAATTTGACCTAACGTAAACTTTTATTTATACGTTTTTAAAAGCAATGTTGCAGTGAAATTCAATCTGGATCTGGCATCTTGTAAAAATAAGTTGTGAAATGGATAACACGTACACTGCGGGGGGGGGGAGGACAGTTCTTATATCTCCCGTTCTACTGGGCCGATTGACGAAATTCAACTTGCGTTTTTGATATCTCGACTTAAAGCTCGACTTGGGATATGTATTAGATTTATATATAGCATTGTTCTAATATAGGCATTTTGACACAAAATTGAACATTTTCTGAAATGACATGCTATTTTTTTTTCCATATTTTGATTCTACGAGTCAAATTACGCCAAATTACAAAGTTTTTTAAAAATTGCACGAGTAGTTTTTAAAACATTAGATCTAAAAAAATTAGCTCCTCAATGTTAATTGAGTTTTGTATATATTTATTAATCTTTCTTTTTTTTATTAAAGTTATTTGATTTTTCCTTTCACATTTCGAAATTCAGGTTCATTCCAAATAAAATTCCCCCATTTTTTATGATTTATTTTTAAAATTTGTATTTTTAAATAATTTTTATAAATTTTTCAAAAATATTTTGAATTATAATCTATAAATCTTTTACCATCAGCTTAAAGTAGACGTATTTCTAAGCATACCTGCAAAAAACTACAGTTTTTATTCTAAATTTCCGAAAATATGCGTGCATTTATATATTAGCGCGTTTTGAAATGTGACATATTTGCTGAAAGTGATAAAACATCAAATGTAGTTTAGACACTTTGTTAAAATTAGTTGAAAGTAGGAACGATGTGACTGTTTTCTCCTCATGCACAATGTAAAAAGATAGGAACGAGGCGCCTTTTTTCCCTTCCGGCATAATGGAAGGGAAAGGAGAATAGGTTGCCTTATATTAAGAAGTTCGTCAAGTGTATTATTCTTGGCGCAAACTGAAAAAAATTGCTTCAAGATAAAGTTTTGAATTTCTCTATAAAATGTGCACCAAATTTTACAAAATTTAATATCCAGGCATAATTTGAGTCGTAGAATCGTAATATGGAAGCCAATTGGTATGTTATTTCAGAAAAGTCCGAATTTGTGTCAATATACATATGTTAGAACAATGCTATATATGGATATAATACATATTCTAAGTCGCGCTTTCGAAAAACACAATTTGAATTTTGTCAATCAGTCCAGTAGAACAGGAGATATAAAACAAACAAATTTTGAGTATTCCTTTGTTCCACGAACTTAATCGCGCTACAAATCCCCTCAATCCTCAAAACCAAGAGCGGAGGTTCAACTTCCGCTCTGCCCCCGCACCGCCCGGGAAAAGTCTCTCTGACGACACTGGTCGTTAATTTGCTACCTACCAGTCACTCTGGCTGCCCGTCGCAGCGGGAGGACTGTCCTGCCTCCCCCCCTTTTTTTTTCGAAGTGTACTTCCTTGTTGAAGAAGCCACTGCATAAGTTTTTGGCGGCATTTAAAATTTACGTCTTGTGGATCAAATGATTCAGATTGCCAATGGCAACCAAGTGCAGTGGCAGCTTTAACAAGGAAGAACTTTAAATATTTTTAAATCAGTATATCTCATCAGAGTAAAATGTAAAGTATCTAGATTTCATAAATTCTTTCATTTACCTGAAAGGCCCACAATGCCACGATGGTTCCAGCCAAACGCAAGCAAAGCCAACCGGCAGCGTGCAGAGGAACAGCATGATGAGCAGAAGTGCGTAATAGAAGTTATTCGACCTCGAGGCGCGGAAAACTGTCTCGTGAGGAATATTGGCAGTGAGAACAGCCCAACTTCTCACGTACACCAGGATGCACAACTTTACTGTGTTGATTGCTGGCAAACCAGGCGAGAAAAACATACCCATCCTGGGAAAAATAGGTCTGCATTTAAATGATTGAAATTGAAATAATTAAGTAGAACAGTTTTTTAAAAATATCATTCAATTCAAAAAAAAATAATAATAATAATACATTTGAAGCAAATGAAGACAACAACTCATTTCTTTGCGATAATGATAACTTACCAAACTAGGCCTTGATTATTTACCAAGTGTAGAATATTCTCAGCTATTTTGAAATCTCCATAGCCTGGCTGAAATAGAAAGATTTGCGTTAAGCTAAGAACTGCAATTCGTGCATCTGACGGGGATGCAATTGAATAAATATTTTAAATAAATTAATTAATGTATGTTAAATTTGGTTTTACTGTCCGTTTAATCTTTTCTTTTTTTAAGAATAGGGGTCATTTGAAGAATTATTTGTTTTTATGACATCTACCAAATTATAAAAAGTATTTTTGTACGGAACCTGCTGCCTAAATGTTCACTTCTGGCTACTTGTAGACAATTAAATGATTTCCTTTAGTCTATCAGGATAATAATATCGAACTCAGAAAAAGTTCAAAAAGACTTTTTCATCAGTGTTTCAGTTTAATACATAACACGGCTTGCCTAACAAAATAATTTCTCAAGAAGTGGTGACTTCGTACGAAAATTTTAGAAAACACAAAAGTGAAACTTAAGCAATTAAGTATAAAATTCACAAGATATGTAAATTTTAGTTCAGGCACTCAAATTACACGACACAGTTAACAATCGCTGAAGTCGATAAATCTACACTCTGGACGAAAATAGTAATAAGATCGTCATCTATAGGAAATAGAACCTCTTGTCTAACTTTAAAAACTCTATTCCTATATACATTAACTAATTTGCATCTAGGTGGGAACAAAGGAAAGCAGAAGTAACAGTAAAGGCAAAAGTAATAAGTTAATGAATTAATCAATAAAAACGATAACATTTCTAACAATGTCCTTCTCAAATGATTTTCACATTTTTATTAGAGCATATCTTGCATAATTTCACTAATTACTCTTTGCATTCAAATCCAATAAACCCTGCTATTTGCATGGACCATTTCGAAAAGTAAACAGTGTTTCTGAGAACTTAAATAAGCATTATTTTTCTAGTAAATCACGTCCATTGCAGTCGAAAATTATTTGAACATCGTGGATGGTCGTCCATGGATGGTCTTAGAGCGGACAATAATTCTTTTTCGTATTTAGTCCTCTGCGACTAAAACCATGGCACGCCACTGATGTTATTCTTTACAGTAAGTCTCGCTTTTTAATACAATCTATGTCATTAATCAAGATCGTTTATCGATTCCCGAAATATTAGGGAACAGAAGATGTAAGGTTTTTTCATTTCCTAAAAAATAACTTGAAAAGTTGACTTACGAAGCCTTTTTCGAGATCCCAGCACCAGCAATTATTGGCGTATCGAACGAATACTGCTCTCAGAAAGTCTGTTAAAATTGTGGAAATGACTGTCATAACTAAATCCATGACAGTCAGCTTTACCAGCTCCTGAAAAAAAAAAAAAAAAAAAAAAAAAAAAAAAAAAATTGAAATAAATGTAAAATTAAAGAGCATGCCTTAATGAAAAAACTTTCAACTCACCTTGTTTACTTGCCGCTATTTTTAGCAGCATTATTTATGCTTATAAAAATTATGTGTTACTGAATTATATCTTTCTTTCTGTATTGCATTTCAAGAATACCGGAATCTTTCCATACTTTTGAAAGTAGCTATTATCGACAATAAGAGAAGAAAATAATTGCGTTTATTACTCAGTAATCACGTCTCAGTATTAAGAAGGAACAGCACATGTAGTGTGGAATTATTTTGATTAACGGATGAAAGAAGCAGACACATTTTGAGTGCCCAAACAGTTTAAGAGAAAAATTAATCTGAAAACCAGCTTAGGGGTTTGTAAGGAACTACCGCATTCCCTAGTGCTTGCTATCGTACTGCAAGTCGTCAATACGTTTAGCTAGAAGGCGGAAGATTAGTGGTTAAATCGAAGGCACAATTGATTCTTCAACTGAGGCAGGCATAATTTTTTGCTCTGAAAGCTAAAAAGCGTCTCTACAAGGCTTCGAAATAAAAATTGTGGCGGAAGGTAACTCGTTACCACCTAAGTTTGGCTGACTGAGTTTGTGCCTCTTTCTGTTGCTTTCAAGTGGAGGAAATTTAGAGAATTATTGCATTCCCTCCTGCTTTGCTCTCATGCTGTAAGTGGTTAGCATGTACAATCGGCAACTGGAAGATCGGTTGTTTTGAGTTCCGGTGAAGAGACACAATTTAAGGTGGGCATAAATGTAATATTATTAAAATGAGTAGAAAATAAAGAGTCTATTAAGCTTAATAAAACAAGAAAGGTTCCTAAGGGAGGTAGTTATACGGCCTTTTGTTTAGTTTAAATAACTTAAATAACTCTGATAATATTGATCTATTTATAGAAGAATTACTGGTGCAGAACATGCTAAAATTGCTTTACTAAAAGGTATAATGCAAGGTTCATTGAATTTCCAGCTGTTAAGTTATATGACAATATTATAAAGACATAATTTCATTAAATCATGAGTTTAATATTAACTTAATGTCCATTAAAATTCTGATAAAATTACAGACAAAACGTTAATCTCAAGAAATTTCACTGAGATGTCTTAGAATTGTCTGGGACTATGGTGAATGTTTTGGGGAGGTTCTTTGTATTAGTAACGCAGGAACATAACCTCAAGAGCTTTTTTGGTACCTTTCCCAAATCACAGAATAATTTCTTAGTGCGGAAATTTTAAACAAGCTTCATTTAATTATCAAACACAGTAATGAAAAAAAAAAAATATTTATGATCTCTCTTACTTGTCCAAATGCAGTTTCCCAACACTTCTTCCGCAGCAGATCTTTGGTGGAGTCGGGAATATTGAGGAGATCTTCTTGCGTTGGCATACGGTGTTTCTTCTCTTCCTTCATGCACTTCTTCGGACAAGGAGCATCTTCGTCCGGAATTATTCCAGCACAAGGTCGAACAGAAGTTGCATTTTCCGAGGAATCAGTGCCGTTGAGCGTCAAGTCAAAATCGTCGTCCGATGTGGTGCTATCGAAGCCCTCAGTTGTCGAAGCAAGATCTGAATCTTCCGTTGTGAAGTCAGGAGACGGAAAACAGACAGGGATCATGACAGTGCAGTTCAGTTCGGGCGGCCAACCAGAATCTGTCGTCGTACTGTCATCATCCTCTGCAGGGCTTTCTGTCGTTGTTGTCTCTAGAATGGTATTCAGTTAAAATGTAAACCACCTGCCTTTAAGCTTTCAGGTTAAAATAATTACTTTTACGTTTTACGGACAGTTAGGCTTAATTTGAACTCTATCTTAACTTCTCTTTGGCTCCTGTCACATATATTTGCGCAAAATGTTATGTAAACTTAAAGATGCTCGAATAATAATAGAAGAGAATAACTGAAGTATCATTAGGTGGGCACACTATTTGGAACAGTTTAACAGTAAAATTACAAAGAAACTTGGAATTTGTTTTCCAGATCAGCGCTTTGTTAGACCAAAAAACGTTGGCTGAGGTTGTTCGCCCATTGTTTAGACGATTTTCACTCTATTTACAGAAATATTTTACCTACAGTTTTGTGTTTTAAATGTTCCATTTGATAACCCTTATACTTCACGATCTTTCGACACCGTAATTTCATTGACAATAAACCTTGTTTTAGCAGCGGAAAAGATACTTTATCTCATTCCTCTTGAACAGCTTTCCAAAGCCCAAAGAGGGTTGTAGGTCAGCGCCTGGACAATTCGCTTTTTAAGTATCCAAAAGCGCAAAATTTCGTGGATGATACATCAGGAGATTTAGTAAGGATATGAGTGAAAGGTATGGCTTTGATGCACGTCTCTTGTTGTATTTTTCGAAGAAATTAAGAGTGGCTGCTTGTTTTGTCTTGATGCAGTTCTATTGTTGATGGCACTGTGGGTAAAGAGAAGATATTTCGTATTTGAAAATTGGGTATAAATTATGTTCCTGATAATATGTGGAACTGATCTTTATAGTCTTCTGAAATCTCTTTTTATTTTTATTTGTCGTTATATCAAAACCCAGTGACAATCATAAATCCTTAAGAAAAATGTTTTTTAGATACTTTAAACCATGTTCTAATTTTTGCTCCGTTTTGATAAAAATAAATGGATCTCTTTTATTGCGGTCATTTAAATATACCCAAGATTTATCTATTGTGATAATATTTTCCATTTCTGTCCCAGTAATTTATTCTAATAGATAATTTTGTAGGGTGTTCTGCTTTCGGCGATATGTCGTAGAGAAAGACGGTGCTCATTACGATATTTCGCTCTTTAAGATTCAAATCAGCATTAATCACTTTGTTTACAGTTGAAACTGAGCATTTTAATGATTATGCAATTGTCCTTTGACTTCGAAGATTTTTTTTAACATTAAAGTTCCTTCTTTCGCAATATTCGAAACATTCCATTTTTTGCTTGGATATGTATTTTGAACAATTTTTCGCCTTCAAGGCAAACTTTGATTTTTTTTCCATTTCTTATTGACATTACTATCTATCCTTCCTTTAGATACCGAAAAATCATGGCTTTCACGGCATTTTTTGGTAACTAAATACTAATAATTGTCTTTGGAAAGAGCACAAACATAGCCTTCCGTCAATTGCATCTTTAAAAGAGACATTGTGCGTGAAAACAAAGCTGTCAAGCAGCAGAAAGTTTAACTTTAAAAAATATAGTTATACTAGTTAAAAGAAATTTTCCAAGCAGGTGATTTTCTTTTATAGCAAAACAAAGTCGTCTAAAAATGTGCGAACAACGTATGTACTATATACTATTTAAATCAAATGGTGTGGTGTATTTAATTACGGCAAAGCACACTAGGGCTATCTGCCTAAGGGGAGGGATGCCTTCGTGGAGGACTTTCTAAGGGAAACTGGCTTGTATACACGTTACACATGGGGAAAACCACAAAAACACCCATGCAGCCAGCCCGTTCGCGGGATTCGAACCTCGGACCGAACTACCAGTGTTCAGCGACTTTACCGCTCGGCCGCTGGTGGGTATTTAAATCAAATGAAATTGAGGAGAAAATTTATAGCGTAGAAATAAAGAATAAGAATTTAATTCAAAATCCTTCTGACCGATTAACTGTTTCGCATAGATCTGAATAAATGTAGAGAAGGTGTTGGTGTATTTAATTATGGCAAAACACACTAGGGCTATCTGCCTAAGGGGAGAGATGCCTTCGTAAGGGACTTTCTAAGGGAAACTGACTCGTATACACGTTACACATGGAGAAAACCACGAAAGTGCCCATGCAGCCAGCCCGTTCGCGGGATTCGAACCTCGGACCGAGCTACCAGTGTTCAGCGACTGCTCGGCTACTGGTGGGCTACTGGTGGGCCTAAATTTATGTAAGAGAAAGAACACCAAAATAAGCACCAGTAGTGCCAATAATTTCTTTTAAAGGCCTTCTTTAACCCGGAAATAATTGATTCCAAAAATTCAGAATCATTTACTGTCCAAAATTTTCATCTTGTCCAAATAGAATTTTAAACTCGCCTACTGAGCAAAGGTCAATACTGTATTTACAACTTTACTCAAAATACATGGTGAATAAAAATATGCAGTTCATAAAATTGATATATATATGCAGTAAATTAATTTGGAAGTGAAAAGCTATATCCATTTCAAACTTCTAATCATTATTCAGCATAAGCTGCGATATTTTAAACTTGAAATTTATTTGAAAATTATTAGTTTTATCGCCCGAAAATGGAGAGGGGAAAATTATGCGCGTATTTTAATTTTCTATTTAATTTCCGAAGGACGCAGTTCCAGAAAAAGCATAACAAAATAAATATATTCATGAATAAATTATCGATAACTCTAATAATATTATTTATTTAAAAGAAACTTAGATTCCGATAAGAATACATGGTACTATTAACATTGCACTAATTAGTAAGATAACTTTATTTCTACTTCCCTGTATCTGGAATACGCGAAGGAAATAAGAAAAGAGAGAAAAGAATAATAAATTAAAATAACTATTAGTAAAAATAATAGAATTCTACAAATATAGCTGATGCTACTTGTCCAGAAAAAAAAAGAATTATCATCTTGTATTAACTTATCCGAAAGACTAATAAATAATAAGGCAAACTGAAGAGTTGAATTAACTGAAGAATGCCAAAAGTAGTTGTAGGCCATCTAAAATATTATTCCTTTGCTATCGATTGTGATTGCCTGATATTGTGGAAGAATTAGTAAGATTGTCTGCTTTGAAGGACACTAGCACTGCAGGAAATGTTTTTGAAATGATAATTAAATGAACTACCTAAATGAAATTTGATTTACAAAGCTTCCAGGAGTAATCGCAGATGGAGCGGAAAGGGGTTCTGTTGAATTACTCCAATAAGAATGATTTTAGTAACTTTGTTTTATTCAATAATGGTGTATTTTGTAATAGGGTCTTATTGATATAGATATGATTTTTATTAGTAATATTAACTGTAATGGTTTTATTTACTTATATAGCTAGATTAAGTCCTTCTATTTCATTAACTATGAAATTGCTTACAGCTCTATCTGTATGGCAGATCAGTGCACCAAGTTTAAGCCTTAGAAACAGGAATATCTATTCACTCTAATGAACCACAATAATATTCGTATATTAATCCTACCAATAAAATTACAATAAATATATAAAAAACTATTACCCCTATAATTTCTTCTCTAAGATCACATCTGTATTTATTAAAAAAAACTCATCTAACTTAATTGAGCTATTCACCAGGAAGCATTATGTGCAAAGTATCAGAATCTTAAGGAAATCATGGCAATGGTTGTGAAAATAATAAATTTTAGACTGCCAAGAGGACTAAATCTCCGCTAGTTCCAGGAATGTCTGAAAGGTATTGATACAGAGTACAGCGATCTTACACATTTTTGAAATGTGCTGCGACTCAACAGCGGAAAATTGCTGAAACGAGTATATATATATATATATATATATTAATAAAAGATATTTCTATGCTTTTAAAGTGCAAAGATCAAGATTACTCTTGCTTTCAAGATTGAATGTTAGCTGATTTAGGTATCATGACTCACATGGACACTTTGAATCGCGAAGGACAGAACAAGCTTGAATTGGAGATATTTAGTCTAATTACTGATTTTGAATGAAAACTTCAACTATGTGAATCACAACTTCAAAAAGAAAACTACTTTCACTTTCCATGTTTCCAGAACAGCAAGAAACATGGCCCTTTTCTGAGACACGGCATAGCGCCTGTTTGGCCTTTCTCCTCTAAACGGTTGCCCATACCTAACCTAGACCATGGATTTGAAATAATTAGAGGGTCAACTTACCTGTTAGAAAGCATGATGTGCCTAACATTACTAATTTATTTTAATAAAATATAAACGTCGACTTTTAAGCAAAAAATATTGTATGCATTTAATTTACATATAAGGCTATTTATGAATAGATCTGGAATAATAAAGTTACGTTCTACTGTAAACAGTGTTTATGTGATTTTATTTTGGTTTTGCGTGTTGCATTATTATTTATAGTTTTACTTTTTATTGTGTAAGAAGTTTGATTAGTGTTTTTCCTCAGTCGAATTAATGATCTTATATTGCACGTGCAGGTGGTTCTTTCATGCATAATATCGCGTGATTCAGAATTATGCACTTACAGACTATGTTTACATATTTTAGAACGATTTTGCGGCCATTAATACTTAAAATGTAAGGAATATTTTCAATGCTCGATCTGATAGAGTGTATTCTGGACTATAAGTCTGCATCGTCATTTAAAAGATGGAAGAGCTTTTCAAAAACGTCCAAGGGGTATTGATTTTTTTAAATCCTCTTCTACTACTGTCAAGAGTTCACCAATCTTTGGGGGTATGCGCTTATAAAGAGCTCTTTTCAAGTCACAGTAAGCAGTCCCACAGGTGAAACGTCAGGGGACTTTTAGGAATACGCTGAAATGGTATATATATGCAATACTTGTATAAATTTTTATTTTTGCAAGGAATGCGGTGTTACTTTTTAAAGCATGACTTGTTGTTTTGTTATTTAGTTCCACTTTCTAAAAGTCACTGGAATAAAGAAATGGAATTTCTTCTGTAAATATTGGAGGTAACGTGATAGCACGTTAATTGATTTTAACATTTTTTCCCGCTCTCCTTATTTTTAATTTTCTGTTCTAAGGGAATCCTGCGGCTATCATTATAACCTTACGAAAAAATTCTTTGCCTTGATCGGAGCAGATTTGTACACTTTTTTTTATTCGTTTCTGATAATAAATAGACCTTGCTTTGTTGCAATAGTTTAGGTAAATCCATGCTTCATCAAGAGTTACAATGCATTTCAGTTTATCCTCGGCTAAATTGTTTTGTTATAGGGTTCTACAAATTGCTGTGCGTTGAGCCACATGCCCATTCAAAAGCTGATGAACATTGTTTTTAAGCTTTTCTAAGGTGCAAGTCTCGGCTTATTAGCCCAAAAGGGACGTTAATCCCGAATAGAATTTTAACCTCCAAATGGCATTTTGCGTTGAATCGCTATAAACAGCGTATCACTTTTCAAATCGTTGCCACAAAAACATCATCGCTCTGTATTATAGTTAAAGAAATTAAATAAAGAAGCATCTGCATGAATGTATGCATGTTTCTCGCTTTGTGAAATAACAACGGTACTTAGAGCCTTCAAATTACGAATAACGCATTCCTCTACCCGAGCATGGGTACCTGGAAGGCCGAATTTTGATTTTGGAGTATCATATTTAAGTCCCTAAAACTTTAATAAATTTTTGATTAACAAATTCAACGATTTGAAAGCCAGCAGTGACAACACTGTACGGAATAAAACCTTTTTATCTTCAGCGCGCAAGATTGTCTATCGGAAATACTAAAGATACAGTGTTTTTAAATATTTTGTGATTTTGCTGTTGAATCGAATTTCATATGGCGTTAGCGCCAACATTTAATAAATAAAGTAAACACACAAAACGTTAATAATAATATTTATAAAGCTTTTGTCATTTTACTGTTGATTTGTGCATGATGTAAGTGCGAAGAAAACGATGCTTAATAATGAAGCTAAAAAGAAAAGTGTCTTAGGAGGAGTGAGTGTAACAGCAGTCTATGAGCTCAGTGATAACATAAAAATTTTAATAAACACTTTTGGGCGACCATTTAAATCGGAAACTTTCATTTTTTTTTTTATTTATTGCTGCTACACGTGTATTTAAAGTCTTGGCAATTGATTTCTGAATCGGCGGTTTATCTCTTCTTAACGATTTAAATTAATAAACATTGGAATCGTCGCCCAGACGGTATATTAGCTAGGGGAGCCGAAGGACCTGGATACCAAAGGACTGGGTTCGAATCCCGCAGAAGGCATGGCTGTAACTGTCCGTCCCTTCATAGGATGCAAAAGATGGCCCCCTATTAGGTGCTACAATAATAAAGTAACCACCACTTCTGGCTTTAGTTGTAGCCAAACCGAAGTCGGCTGAGGGCTCGCCATTGGGGAAAAGAAAAAATCATTAGAAAACAGTTATGTACCCTTTTCGAGTACTCATTTGAAATCTTTTTTTCGTGTAAAGCAATGATTCACAATTTTAATTTTTACATTAATAATGCTGTTAATTTGGCATTTCGAAATTTTAGTACCATGCATTTCATAACGTTTTTTAATTATAGAAAAAGAATATTTTTCTTCAGAAAGGAAAAAAACTATTCTTCAATCCACAACTTATTTACATGCGACATTTTGAAAGAAAAAAAAATTAGAGGTTGCAAATGCTATTTCTCATTTCAAATAATAAGCTGTTGCGAGAAATTTTTATTTCAAAACATTTTAAATTTTTTATTAAAACCATTATAAAAATGTATAAGCACTTGAAGAGTTTGGCTTTCTTTGGCAGCATAAATTAGCATCAAAGTCCTAATAGACTTCGTGCAAATGATCACTTGGTCTGAGGTACTATCAATAGACTCTTGAAAGGGTTGAAAACAACATTTTCACCCACCACTTGTAGCTATGTAACTTAAAGTAATATTCAATTTCAAAAGTTAAACTAAGTTTAGTAATCAAAGATTACATAATTGAAATTGGAATTAATTGAAATAAACTGGAATAATTGAAATTAGATTACATAATTGAAATTCGAAGATTACGTAAATGAAATTGGCTTCTTACCGGCGTAACAATTTAAATATCTGCAAGAAAGCCGAAGAATTACGATTATCAGCGCTGGCGAATCTAGTAATGTGGTCTCCAGAGGCAGAAACACGCTCTACAGTCATACAATCCAAAATTCTCGACTTAAATACTATCAAATTGATTTGCATTCTTGTTAAGAAACCAAAAGTAAGTCTGATAGTAAAGGTGAAATTATAAATAACTGTTTAATTAAAATATTGATAACAATACACACCTTCTGTGTTACTGACCTAGAGTTTTGGTTAGTGATGCTGACCTCCGCACCCAGGTTCGAATCTCAGAAAAGGGATGGATATTTGCAAGCGTATAGTATTTGTGAAACAAGAGGCACTGAAAATACACGGTGAGCCAAAGTCCTCTCGGGAGTGTTTAGTAGAACAGATTTATTTTCTGAGCCCACCCCTGGGTGCTCTTCCTCAAAATTGAGGAGGAACTGCACAATTAGTGCGGCGAGACTGTACGCGTACGACCAATGATGAAATTCTAGTCTCTCGCCCACTTTTATCTGTGGCTGTTCTAGAATTTACTCTGTAGGTAATATCGGCGATCTGCGATACTTTTCGCATATTAAGGAGACTTTTTCTTATCTTCGTTGATCTGTTTTAGCTATTTATAGCTTTATTATTAGCTGTTATTATTTATTTCTGGAGTAATTATTAAACAGATCTATCTTAGCACACAGTACATTTTCTCATTTTCAATGAGTTTTTTGGGATTGAATTTTGCATACACATTTAAGTTGCATATTTCACTTACCGTTTAATAAAAATGCAGTTGACAGGAGCGGCACCAATGTACTCAGGGATTCATTGAAATTTTCGAAGGTAGTCCAGTTATTGGGTATTTCGCTGATGAGGTCTAGAGGAATGACCCACTGTATTTTGTCAGTATCGACGTATGGAGAGCTATTAGGCAACATCGAGTGGGAATTATTATTATTATCCTTGGGTACATGAATGATATTAACGAACACCAAGGAGGAGTTGTCAGTCGTGCTATTCAACGCAGCCGCTGTTAAGTTAGCTACATGCAGTATATGATGCAAGTCATTTTCCGTTGTAGAGTTGTCCAGAAAATAATCTCCGTCCACAGCTGTCATGTTGGAAGGGAAGGCCGTTGTGGTGAGAGGAAAGTCGGTGAGGTTAAGGCTCGAGTAGAGGGCCGCAAGAGTGCAGTTGTAGATGATAATGAATGTGCAGTTGTAAGGCGAAAGAAGAGTGGTAGACTCGGTGAGATCTTCCTTAATCTCAAGGAGGCTCCGTGTGTGTCTGAGAGATGCATTCTGGGCATCGATGGTCTCTGTGATGTTTTTGGCCAAAACAGCCAGTTCGTCTGTCTGAAAAATTACAAATTTTATTTACGACATAAATCAAGCTAATGCATTATAGATTTAGCAAAGCCATTAAATAAACAGAGTCATAGAGAGAGGAGGAAGAAACGTTAAAAATGATTGGATCCTTTTTTTTTAATAGGATCTGCTTCAGACCCTATTTTTTTAAGTAAAATCTCAAAAAACTTCACTTGTATGCGAATTCTTTCTTATTCGTAATGTTTGCGAGTTAAAATGATTAACAAGTAAAAAAATATTTTTGGAAAATTTTGTTTTGCATTGCAAAATTTGCTTTTATAGAGAAATACATCCAATTGTGGAGCTTTTGGTGGTCAGGTTTTATTTATGGTTATTTTAAAAAAGTTTACTTTTTTATTCTGAAAACAATATGTATTATATCCTCATAAAGCTGCAAAAATACAATTTATCAAGCTGAATTTTTTATTTCATACTTAAGAGCTCGCATCATAATCACTACCATGCGACATGAATTATCTTTATTAAGTACCATGAAAATCCAACGTAATTTGCAAAAAGTTATAGGGTGTAACATAATTGAAGATCGCAATATGAAGCGCATATAGAAATTGAATATGGCTAAATTAACAAATGTTAACACGATAGGCGAGTGTAATGTGAAATGTAAATGAGCAAATACGGTACGTAGGAACATGGAGAGCGAAAAGTTCTTTTAACCACGGTTGGTTTCAAGAAATCATGTTTTCTATGTAAAAAAATTGTTCAAATGAATGACCATCAAACTGCAATACATGCGTCACAACGGCAATGAACTGAACGGCGAACTATGGAAGCTGCACGTACTTCTGCAGCAGCTACGTTTATTCATTTTAACAAGATATCAATTTGCGACTACTAAACACAATTCCTCATCTTTCGAATGCATCCACTGCAGTTGGTGATGCTCATCTGAACAATTCTTGTGAATATTGTTACGAATTTAGGAACTCTAAAATAAATATATCACCTGTAAAATCACTACACACATCTTCAAGAATCATATGCAAAATTCAGGAAGTAACCAGATGACACCGATGGTACGTCACAATGACGAGAGTGTAAGAGAGTGATATATAAGGAATACAGGAAAAGAAGTAAAATTGTTCGCAGGCGCTTTATAAGCATTTCAGTGCAATAATCGAATAGTTATGACACAAAGGACGCATTTGGATGATTTTTTACGTGGTAGAATTATCGGCCGTCTGGAATGTGGGCGTACCCAACTGGAAGTATCAGACGAACTTGGAATTGCCCAGAGTGTCATCTCCAGGCTTTGGCAACGATTCCAAGATGATGGTAATGTGAGTAGACGTTACAGCACAGGCCGCCCCAGAGTTACAACGCCGAATGAGGACCGGTATTTGGCAGTTACTGCCAAAACAAACAGGTGGAGCACAGCCTCAGACCTGTCTCGTCAGCTCTCTTCAGCCACTGGTACGACAATTTCAAGGCAGACCGTGTACAGACGCTTAGGGCAGATTGGTCTATATGCCTGTCAGATGCGTTCCACTTACTGCAACTCACTGTCACCTGCGGTTAGCCTGAAGTAGAGAGCATGCATTGTGGACACCGCAACAGTGGGCTTGTGTGATGTTTTGCGACGAGTCCAGGTTTAGCTTGCAGTCTGATTCTCGCCGGACTTTCATATGGAGAGCTCCAGGTACCCGTTACCACCAAGAAAACATCATTGAACGACACCGTTACGGTGGTGCAGGAGTTCTCGTTTAGGGTGGAATTATTCTGGGTTGCAGAACTGACCTGCATGTTCAAATTGGAACCATAACAAGCCAAATCTATCGGGACGTCATTCTGGAACAACATGTAGGTTTGTTTCGGGGTGCTATGGGCGCACAATTTGTGTTTATGGATGACAACGCCCGTCCTCACCGTGCAAACATCGTAAGCGAATGCCATCAATCGGAGAATATCTCCCGTACGGACTGGCCAGCATTCTCACCACGTTGTTGAATCCAGTAGAGCACGTGTGGGACATGCTTGGCCGACGAGTTGCAGCCCGTCAACCTCCTCTTACATGTCTACCGGAAATTCGGAGAGCATTGCTTTTGGAGTGGTGTAATATCCCCCAAGATCAGATCTATAATTTGATACTCAGCATGCCTAGGTGTTGTACGGACTATATTGCATCGTCTGGGAGACATACAATGTATTAACAATCATACCAACCATGTAATATTGTTTTTTTGTTAACATGTTTTTTTTTTTGTGTAATTTGCTCCAGGGAGAAAAAATCGCTAATTTTTTTGATAATATCAAACATATAGCATCTTTTTTTTTGCTCTTTACCTTTTGTTTAACAAATAAGCTTTACAAATAAGTCAAATTTGTTTTCCTTCTAACTTTTTCTTTGCCTGATTTTGCATTATCCTTAATTTATGGACATGAGTGTAATTTTGGCGAAGTTATATGCAATTCCTCTTCCCTTTTACAAGATTAATTCCTCTTCCCTTTTACAAGGAAAGCTATCAGACTTCCCGATGACAATTTCCACGAAACTTCCAGGAATAGCCAAGTATATGAGTGAAAGAACTGGTGCAAAGTGTGGCGTTTCGCAATCAGCTGCAACTCAGAGAATAAGGCGTATAATATGGCGCAGGCGCTCGCAATATTTGAGGCATAGATCGGAAATGTAATGTGGGAGTGAGATATGAAGTTTTCTGTCATTAAGCAATCCCATGCTACTTTTAGAAAGAAACTAGAGTATGCAATCCCATGCATACTTTCTAAAATTTTATCTAATTTCTAGAATTTTATTTATGGTTATTTGTTGGCGAACTTATGTCACTTTGCATTCCACTGAACTACTTGCCTTAAAAGCCATGATTATTTGCCATGCTTTATTCAATTCTGCCTTGGTTTTTCAAATATGCTGCGAAGGAAGTTTTGTTGCTCTGTTAGGGTAAAGAACTACCGTTGAAAAAACCTTTATTCGATGCTGCCTTGTATTCAACGACTGCTACTAAGAGCTTTTTGTTACTCTTTCAGAGACAATAACTATCATTTAAAGCACTTGGCAATATATTGGAACTCTCTTGTCTATTGAATAATTCTATGTCTTCTATGTCATTAATATTTGTTCCATGACATATATAGCTACGAGCAATCTGGCTAATCGTGCAAAGGTTTATACGTAATTCTAAAACATAACTTGTTAGCTGTAAAGCATGCCCTTGCTTTGAATCACAGTACTCAAGCAACAGTCGCTGCCTTTCGATACGTATGCTATCTGCCAGGAACACGCTTTATCACTCACATTATACACGGTTAACGCATTAACTCACATTATACACGGTTAATGCGAAAACGTATCCCTCTTCCGACAATAATATGTTAAGATGGACACCATCTTTCTGATGCACTGTACATAGAATGAGTGAAGAGCAAGGCGAAATGAAACTGGAACACTGCTTTTTTTTTTTTTTTTTTTGGCGATACGAAGTCACCGGACTGACGGATAATCAGCGAACAGACAAAAAGAATTTACGGCTTCGTCCAAACAGCATGGCACTGGTACTGAAATCGAGTTACTTTTTCTGCAACCACCCTGAAATTTACAGATAGAATTCTTTTGCCAATTTATTACTGCAAATATTGGAGGCATGCACGGCAATTTATATGCCTAATATTTTGAGTTTATTTGTAAAATGGCACACTGTGTACTTTTTCTCTGAAACTTCTATGGGAACTCGAAATTTCGATAGTTTTCCTTGTTAGTGAGTTGCGATAGCTAAAACAAGGAATGACTCATCTAAACGTCTTTTCGCGATATTTGTTTAACTACTAATATTCGTAGTTCAAGTTTTCATGCTCCTCAGCTTATTCCTCATCTGTGTGCCATAGCTGTTGCCATCTTACAAGTTTTTCTGTTTGATACGTTGTTATATGTCTCTAAGGAAAAGAAATATTTAAATATTTATTATTTGGCTTTAATTTCCGCCAGATTATTTAATCTGAGACATTTGAAAATTAAAGAATTATCATAAACAGAGAATAATTTCAAAACACCAAAATTAGAATAAATGATGCTCTTTCTTCTGTCTAGTTTCTTTATGAAAGTGAAAGCAAGAGAAAAAACTAGTAGTAATATACAGAATATATCACTACTAGTTAGTAATATATTCTTGGTGTTAGTACTACCTCTATACCTGTATACAGAAAGTAGTAGCTACGTAGAGAAAATCCTTATATCCATTGTTAAAAAGAATACCGTTTAGCATGTATCATACACACATAAAAAAAGCTAATTTAGTATTACAACAGAGGTACAAATATTTTATATATACTTGCTTTAGCAGTTTACAAAAAGAAAATCTTGTCAATTAAAAAGACAAAAACTAAAATTGTTTTTGATAATTTTTTAACAAGAACGGAAAGATCTTCCGTTTCGGAAATTTTTCCCCAAATAAGAGACGAAAAATATTTGTCATTTTAGCCCACGGAAAAAGCATGGATATGATTGCATTTCTGTACATTCAGGCTTAAGTTATCTACTGTCACAATAAATAAAATTAGTGCACCTGGAAGAAGGCCTTGGACCGAAATGAAATGCTGGCGAGGCACTATTGGAAACGAATTATCGATATTCTAATGTTTAAGGTAGAACATTCACGGACGCTAGGGTCGCCAATTCACCTCTTAAAGGAGTCTTAGAAGATGATTTTCACGTCCGTCGCATTCACTGCAGCTGCCTACATAGTACGTCGAGTCGCTACTAATCCGCATTTTCTTGGCGCACAATCGCGCTAACTTCTCTACTCCACAATATGTCACGTACCGACTGCTGCAACAATATTGTGCGATGATATTATTCAAACGATCCACGCGGTGGGTTGTACTGCATGCCGACCACACTGCGATTTTTATACTCATGATAAGGCCTTTCTGAAAATATGTCAAGTACGCAAATCTTTGTTTCTGGCGTGTAAATGACATGTTTCTTATCCTTTATACGTGACAACATCATCGGGCGACTTGTCTCATACAGAATCAACGCGATGCCTCAGGTTAAATTTTCTGGATTGTAATTGTAGAGCTATTACAAGCTGCATGATCATGAGCGATGGTATCAAATTTAAATCACTTGCATTTCACGCTAGTTACTTGTATGGAAGAAATTGTTTGCGGTCATGGCACAATTTCGATGTGCGCTAATTTCTCTCACTGTGGGGCATACTAGAAAATGAATTTCAGTTATATTTAGGATCTGTGTCTGAAAGTAATAGAGGAACTTTAATAAGAAAGTTTAAAATATAATAATAATAAGAAGAAGAAACTTTAATAATAAAAATAATAAGAAACTTTAAAATAATAATAAGAAGAAGAAACTTTAAAAATAAATTTTATTTTATTGAAAAAACATAAAACGCAAGTCCCATCAGAACTCCGATTTTAGCACTGCAATTGCAAACTATCATTTGTACGGGAAAATCGCTTTCACCTCTGTTGTAAACTTCCTATTTGTTATATGGATGGGCTAATCCTTGTGTTTGGTTAGTACATCCAACTAGCAACTAGGAAGATTCGTGGTTTGAATCTTGGTGAGATGATAGTTCATTTTTACTTCCTTGTACGAAGTAAAAAGGAAGTATTGTAATCGCGAAAAGTTTAAGGCAGCATATTTCAACGAAAATATCCATTTTGACAGCTATCGAATGCAATTTAACGATGTTTTTGCGTGATATCTGTACGTAAGGACAGAATAAAATACTCTTTCCTTCAAAAAAATTATAAAACTGCTTTAAAATTAATTCTGAAGAGAATTTTTCGTGGCGTCTGTACGAACGTATGTACGTACGTGCGTACGTACGTATCTCGCATAACTCAAAAACGAGTAGCCTCAGAACGTTGAAATTTTGTATATAGGACTGCTATAACATGTAGATGTGCACCTCGTATTTTGGTTGCAATCGGCCGCACCAAACGTATATAAATATATTTATATATATATCCACTCTGTTACCCGGCTCAGTGATCTTAATTTCTTTACTCTTATATGTTTGTAAATTGTACATTTTTTTCTTTAAAAAATGATTGAATTATATTGTTTTTATCTTCCGGTTAAGGATTTTATGCCTTTAGTAAATCTGTATGCAATATTTTTAGAATTATCAGCAATTTTAAAGTTGTTTAATTGCCGCTAAGCCTGTTTTAATGGCGGCCATGGATGTTTACATTTGAAACAGGAGACTAGTGAATTTGTTGCCAATCTAGAGAAACTTAGCTTCGCAAACAACAAAGATAACGCCATTCATTTATTATTGCCAATTAAATCATGCTTAATTCTTTCTGGAATTTTTTCGAGGAAATAAGCGTTTGAGATTTACTTCGTAATTTTTAATATAGATATTTTGAGTTTTTATGTATTTTTGCCTTCTCGCGAAGTAAGAACTGAATTAATTAAATGAGAAATACTCAATCGTCTGTGAAAAACTGGTTCTTTTTTGTTTTATTTGCTTAATTTCTTTTATATATAGTTCTAGCTTTATTATAGTATTTGAATAGAACATGTGGCAACGATTAGATAATTCTTTAAATGATATACATTTTGTGCATTCTGAGTTATAATATGAATGAAATATAATACTGTTAAGTAAACCTAGCGCCAGTGTCGCTATGGTAAACAAAGTGAATTTTAAAGAATGCATTTATTCTATTGTGGTTTATGCGCTGTCGGCGAAGTAGGTTTAATTCAATCTAATAAGTTTAAATAAAATGCAAGAAAAAATGCGTATAATTTAATATTCCGTACAAGGAAGTCATGTGGTGTACATATCAGATTTTTTTATTCCGTAAAACCTAATAAAGTCTACATATTTTGATTTAATTTTTTTATAATTTATGCAACAAGTGGAATTAAAATAAAATTAATCATAAATAGTAATTGTGAATAGAAATCTAAAAGCTTTGAAACTAGAAAGATGTTAAGTTCAAAAAATCGCTACTTACTGTTTTGTAAACCTTGGCAAAAAGAGCAAAGATGAGTGTGTACAAATTCAGAAGATATAAAAGAAGTATTCTGAAAATAGTCAGAAAATACATTTTAGACATATACTGCACTCTAAAAAGTAATTAACAGGTAATCGTTTCAAGTTCCAGCATGTGCATTAAGTTGCATTTGAAAACGATTCTTTAAATTTCATTTTCTTATTCTAAAGACTATTTGTTTACACCCGCAAATGGCCACAGTAGCAATATTTAAAGAAATTTAAAACTTATATTCGATAATGTTAACACAGTAAGAAATTTTCTTGATTAATAGAACTGCTCAATCATTTTTAGCATTAAATAATTTTGTAACATTTTAATATTAAACTATCCAGTTGTTTATCCTTTCCTCTCTTTTTCGTTCCTACTGAGTTCTACAGATAATAGTGATAGTTTTAGAAATAGCAGCTCACTGTGTTATAGTATTTAGCAGCTAAAATTTTTAAAGTCTATTTTTCACCGTTTTAAGTGTCTCAGCAGTCACCATTAATTCGAGGCAGTATACGCCTAATGTGAAGTTTCAAGTACATATGGTAAGGATTGGTAACTGTGATTAATCTGTTACCTTATAACCTTAAAAGATCCTAGTGTAAGATCAGTTCACATCCAGTTGCCAGTCCTGTATATTAAGTTATCCGCTTGGACACCGTTATTATAGAAATGACAACAAGAATAACAGGTTGACTTCACAAACGGCAGATGTGCGTTTGTCTAGACACAGCAATATTAATTAGTCAAGAAGATATTATGCAGTTTTTCACTGGTACCTACCAAACATACCTACCAAAACAGATTTGGTTTAGAAATAATAATACCCTTGTGGACTGTGACCAGCATATGTTCAAGTGTTCTGAAACACAGGAGTTTCGTTTAAGATGACGATCCACGTTGAACAGCTGATATTGTCCTATTATAAGTTACACTTATATATTTTGGTTATCTTAAAAAATGTTCTGCACCAACAACGATACACCATTTTCAACGTTTTGCCTACTGTTGAAAAAGCAGTTCTGAAACTATTGACTTGGAAATATTTTTTAATACAAAGCAACATACATTTTCTTGTAGTTTATTCATTACTGAACTTGTAGAGGTTTTCTTAATTTGCATAACAAATTTATTTTAAGTTTTCCTGTTCTCAACTTCTCAAACTTCCCCTCACATTCTTTCGCCAGGATGTAAATTTAAAGTTAAGTGAAGTGCTATTTAAACTTGCGATTATCTCAGTTTATTCAGAGCGTGTTTCGCTAGCCTCGCGCACGTTTCGTTGTTATTTCGAGGTCACGTCACTCTAGTAAGCCTCTTGGCCTTATCAGTTTAGTATCACGCCGGTTAGATTTCTGTGAGTCCATCTCTTAGGAGTAATTTTGAAGTGCCTTCTTGCAGTAGTTTTATTTTTCAGATTTAATTTATATTATAGTCTACGTTTAGTTACCGCCGCAAGTGAACGGTGTTTTGGTAACTCACGAAGTTCGTGCTGTCTGTTATTTTAGTTTGAGTTAATAAAGGGTTATTTTGCACCCTTCTTCTGTGCTGGTATTTATTTTACGCCTGTGCGAGAATTCACCAGGTTCATTGTAGGATCTAAGTTAGTGTACGTGTAAAAGTAGAGATAGATTTTACAAGCGGCGCCCGAAATTTTCTAAACTCATGGCTAACAACGAAGGTGCAGCTGAGTTAGCTCCATCGACATCGCAGACCCCACTGGCCCCTGGAAGTATGATGGAAGGCTTTGGACATCTGGTGGACACTATGAGGACCTCCATGAAACCCTTAGTGATATTTGACGGAAGAACGTCGGGTCGGTAACTAGCTTCCTAGAAATTTTATATAATCACTTTTTACTTTATCCTGTCCCTGATGTGGAAAAGTAGAGATAGATCTTACAAACTGATTTGCGAATTCTCTTTATCCATGAAAGTAGAAAAAAGTCACACTGAGCAAAACGATTTAGTGAGTAGCGTGAATGAGACATGCGACGGAGGACGTGGGCACCATCCCTCTACCAATACGGTTAATCGGTATAGCGCCACGTCCACCTTAATCTATTGCCTAGATACATGATACATAAGAATGTACGGTAGCTACAGATAGACTGTGCAGAAGATACATATATATTCAAATGACTAAATACATGTTACGTAGGAACATGGGGTGCATGAGATGTATAAGGGGACATTCATAAGAACTTATCTAAGGCGACACACATTGGGTGACGTACACATACTTATTAATATAAGATATATAGGTGCAGAATAAGTTACATGTTACAGGATGTTGCGAGATATATGATACAAAATGCTGTGGATACAGATATATGCAGATGCCAAGATAAATGATGCGAGATGCAGAATGATATAAGTGCCAGGATACATGGTAAGAAGGTGCGAAATAAGATGCATGATACATGATTATGCGGGATATATGTTACAATGTGCAGAAGATACAAATATTGGCAGATGCCAGGATGCATGATACGTAGAACATAAGGTGCAATAAATACGTAAGATGACAAATATAAGGACATGCATAAGGTATATATATATATGACAAATATAAGGACATACACATACTTAAGAACAGAATTTTCAAAACATATTACAGGATGAAGCGAGAAATATGACATATATTACAGGATGATACGAGATATTTGTTAAAACATACAGGGTTAAAAGCATCACGTTGTTCTGCTGGTCTTCTCTCCGAACAGTAGGGCAGAAAGATTTTCTTCAGAAATGTGGTGAATGATTTTTCGGCGATCTTTAGTAGGCTATAGCAGTTTGTCAATTTTCTAAATTTTCTGCTGGGCAATGAATAATCGAGTCAAAGCAGTCTTCGTTAGACTGTAAAGTTTATCCCAAGTTTTTAACAGTTATCTTTAGTTAAAGCTACTTTCCTGTCCCTTTTCATTTCAGCTTACAATTTCCTGCCAGAGTGTGTTTTTAGAATCACGGTTGATGCAAATGAGGAAGAGCGGTACTTAAGTCGAAGTTCCACTGACTTCGTTAGAGAGCCAAAGATTCTGACTAGCGCACGTTTGCCTTTTGGCTACACTCTCCCTAAGCTATTACTACGTTCGGCCGTATTTCAGGCCCTTGATAGCTTCGCCGTTTAGTAAACATTTAAGGGCCAACTCCTTTAGAATTTTGATAGCTTTGGCTACATCTTTTTAGCTAAGCATTAGTTAAGTTTGATTTCTTAGTACTCTTGAGTTCAAGCTCAAGCGGAGGCTTTCTGTACCCTCTAAGACAAAAGCCGTCTATACATCTTATTTTGAGAAATAAAAGGTAATTAACCCTTCTTGAGTTTACGTTTCTGTTTCCTGAGCTAAAGAGATTATTCGCTCACCAGTTCTCGAGGTTCCATACACATAGCTTAAGAGAAGAGGTTGGAACTTTATAACACGTTTACACATTTAAAGTATATAAGGTATTTCTCCCGCCTTCTTAGCGAGCCTTCGTGGTGTAGTGGTCCGCACGCTCAGCGCGTAATTGAGATGTTCGCGGTTCGATTCCCGGCGAAGGCGGTGCTAATTTTCATCTTGTCTGCTTCCAAAAAAGAGTACCTAATGTCTGTACAGTGGCGCTCGAACTAAAAGGGTGCTGGATGATGATTTTCCTCACCCAGAACTTGGCGTCCCCTAAAAACCGCAGTCGCCCTTTAAAAGGGGGAGTATATAAGGTATTTATCCCGCCTTCTTAGCAAGCCTTCGTGGTCTGCACCCTCAGTGCGTAATTGAGAGACCCGTGGTTCGATTCCCGGTGAAGGCGTTGCATATTTTTCAACTCTCCTGCTTCCAAAATACCTAATGTCTCTACAAGTATAAAAATCTGGAAAACCACTAGCATACTTATTTATTCAAAGTATCATGTTTGAAGGTTTGACGAAGAATAACCATAATCTCAGCTGAAGGTTTCTTTGACAAAGCGGAAAATTTCACTACGATACTCAGGATTGTTTTCTATCATCGTGAAAATGGTCGGAAGCTGGGAACAGGGATACACGTAAATGAGCATCGGAAGCAAACCGTTCTACTCAGATTGATGCCTCTTCATGAATAAGCTCTTGAAATCATATGTTACGAAAGTCTACAGGCTTGATCAGTAATTATACAATGCTCACTTGAAGTGTTAACATTCTGATTATCTTTTTCATTCTTACGTATGTTAAAATGTTAAAATGACCCACCCAAAGCAGTCAGCGTCATTTTAATATGTTATAATACCGTACATTTGCAATTATCTTGAAAACATGCTATTATTTATTGTAAATCTGAACAGTGAACATCACTGTTATAACTACATCTTTTAATATGCACAGAAATAAAATTTTACTGCTTTGTAATAAAAATGTAAAAATATCATAACCTCCACAAGTGCACTGAATTAAAAGCAACTATCATGTTCTTTTAAATAGACTATTGAACTTAATTGAGTAAAACGAAGGGGCGTTAAATTATAAAGATGAATTAATGGGCTAAATTTAATTTATTAAAAGAAATGAAAAGAATTACATATAATCACCAACCACTACAAGAGACTTGTTCAAGGGCCCGTGAAGTTTCTTAATTCATGAAGCCTTTCGATAGAGTATGGACGCATTTTTTTTTTTTTTTTTTTTTTTTTTTTTTTTTTTTACACAGCATCCAATAATCTGCTTATTAGACCAGAACTACTTTGCTCTTAAGGCTGCTAAAGACTTCTATTTTCGACCTAAAGGGTACGAAGAAATGAAAGTCTGATGATGCTAAATCTAGGCTTCTACTGATTTGTAAGCCTCGGATAAATCGAAGATGGAATAACACCTTTCTAAGGCAAAAATCTAATGAGGATTTGTTACACAATACTAAAAAATTTGTAAAGTGAATTTCCAGCTCCAGTATATTAGTTTCAACTAACCCGAGTCAGAGAAAGAAAAAAACCAGCACTAATATTGCAGGTTTTAAACATATATGTGTTTTCTCAATGACCCATGATTGTGTTTAATTCTTTGTATGAAAGAAGCATGAATACGCTTCTTTGTATTTGAATACTTATAATTAACACTATAACTAGCTGAATGCATCGTATAAAATGTACTCGTAAACCAACCCTACAAAAAGTCGAGCTGTGTAATAATTAGTTAGAATATTTTTTAAAAATTGTCCTGTAATATCTTTACTTCAGTATATAACAACTGTAAATAAAATGGCAATTTACAGTGTTGTTAATGGACAACGTCCAGTATAAGCTCCACAGTCCAGTGTTACCTGTTTAAACTCATGTAATGCTTACATTAATTATAATTATGTTAAAACTATGTCCCCACTGTGATATTCATTTCTTGCATTTTTCTTGCATTTGACATCATTTCTGAAAGTACATCATTTGACAGAAAACCTGCCAAGAATGTGATCTGTAATATTGTTATATGAAGTATTTTCTACCTCCTTTACACATTCGTAGTGTAACTGAAAGCATACTTGACACGTATTCGAAAAGTCCAAGGTTCGAGTCCCGGCGAGGGCATGCATGTTTTCACATCTTCTGCTTAAAAAAAATCTAATGGCTGTACAGTTAAATAATACTGTCAACAGGGCTCATCAAGCTAAAATCCGTCAATGTGTTTACAAACTATCTTGTGAACGGTCTGATTTATTTTGTTTAATCGGTTATTGTAAAGCACGCTAGGGAAGGGATGCCTTAGTGTAAAACATTCTAAGGAAATTGGCTCTCATCCATGTTACACATGGGAAGAAACACAAAAGCGCTCGTGCAGCCAGCTTACTCTCCTAGAATCTACATAGAACAAACTACTAGCAATAGGAGAAATGGGAAATGCGAATACAATCTTAATGAAGGTGAAAAGTTTTATTAATCCCAGAATTCAGCTTTTTACAAAAGTTCAAATACGTACTTTACTGTTGATTAGTTTAGGCAGAAACTGTAAATTCTATTGAAATTTCTGCTATTAATAGAAGAATTTTATAGTTGTAATTCATTTTTAGTTATTTTCCAGAGCTGCAAAAAAGATTAAAACTTTGCAGCAATTAGGAAAATTTAAGATCAAACATATAATACATCTTTGCATTTATATAATGGACATACTGGCACTTTCTAAAGAGAAATTTTAAGCATGGGGTAGAGAAACCACCTGCTAAACACCACAGGTCATTGGATACTGTTTGTGCTCACTATTCAGTTATTAGTTTAGAAGAAAAACATACATAATTTGGCAATTCAAGCATAATGCGTTAACATAACATTAGAAGGAAATTTTGAAGGATATGTTTCAGATAATTTCAGAGGTTCTGCTAATACAAAAAATAAGAAGTTACCACCATGTTTGTATATAACAAATTAATAGCATATGCCAAACATAATAAAGTTTTATATCAAATTTTGAAATTCTAAAGATCTTAAATGTTTGAGAGGCTGGGCAGGAAAAGTTAGTAATTAATACAATTTCACGCAATACGATTCTAAAATTTAACGAATGTAACGTTTTTCATTCAACCGTTACTGTATCAGTTTGAAGTTTCTATTTTTCTAATTTTATCAGATTCCAACAGAATAAAAATTAATTTAAAGTGTAAACACGTATTAAGTTTCAAAGATTGTCAGAGAGTATTTGCAGTTTAGAATGCTTATTAATCTACTCAGTGAGGCTGCATAGCAAGCCATAGGGCATCAACAATGTTGAATCAATGTCGACTGACTGTTTTGAAAAATTAGCATGTGATTGCGACAATTATTTATTAGTAGCTCTATCCTGTCTTTCTTGACTCCTGTCACATGTTTCTGTCACATCATAAAGTTAGGGAAATTAAAAGCATGCACATAATTTACAAGTAGAACTTTAACCTTCATTGTGGCTTACTTTGGAGTATTCGTCGCAACCGCTCTGAGTAATAGTTCCTGTTGTATCGGTTGAAGGCCTAGCGAAGAGGAATTCTGTGCAAGTGATTTAAAAGTATAGCTGTAGTGTAAAACCACTCATGTATTTAGCTTTAAATTGAACATTGTTATGAGTTGTTTTAGTTGGTGTAATGTCTGTCGTAAGCCACCAGGTAAGGCTTAATAAATGTAGTTTAAGTTACATTAATTTTCTTTGTATTTTCTTTCTGTTTAACAGGCTAAGATAATTCTGCGTGTGTGAGCCTTTACACTCAATGCCATTTTAATTTAATTTTATGTCGCAGTATTGTGAGACAAGCTATAAAATGTGAGATAAGCTGCTATCAGTTTAGGAAAGAAACTAATATACCATTTGCATTATAAGTAAATTAAAATAGCAATTATAGAGAATTTTATGAAAATATTAGTTGTATATGCAATTCTATGAAAAGAAGAATACTTGGTTAAGAGCTGAATTTTATATCGCAATAAATACGATACATGGTATTTTCTCCCTTCTTACACCATCATGGTTTAATCGGATAGCATGTCCGACTGGCACTTAGGAATTCTGATGTTCGAATCTCGGCACTTTTCACGTTTCCTGCTTCAATAGAACCTGATCATTCTACAAGTGGCGCCCGAACTAAAAGGCTAATTCTTCCCCACCAGGATTTGGTAATTAGATCCCCTTCTTCCCAGTCGCCTTTTAAGAGGAGAAGTATATAAGGTATTTTCTCCGTCCTTAACAAGTGCCTTCGTGGTGTAATTGGATAGCACGTTTGGCTAATGATCGGGAGACCCGATGTTCGAATCCGGGCGAAGGCGTTGCACATTTTGATGTCTCCAGCTTAAAAAAAATCTATTGACTTTACAACCAATCGGAAAAGGAGTAAACATACCTAGCTAGCTGCCACCTGAGTTGAACTCGGGGATGATACTTCTCAGCTATTCCAATCATATCAAAAAGATTGGGGAACAAAAGTGAGATGAAAGAAACAACCAAAGTGACCTGAAAGAAAAGGGAAAATAAAAACGCACTTCATATATATGTAAAATAAGAGAAAGGTAGGGTAAAATTCTGATTTCAATTTTTAATTCTAATTTGGTTCTAACATGCAAATATTTACTTTCACTCTTATTTCTTGGGCTGAGATGTTTCACATTTGTGATACAATTTAAATTACTTCTTGCTGATTATCTTTCTTCTGCAGCATTTACGTCCTTCGTGCCATACTCTTCGACTTACGACCGACGTCCGTTCTTATCAACGGGTTACGAGCAGATGTGGTCGTAAGTCGGCCAAGTGTTTATTAATACTATTCCTTTTATATGAAATGAAAGTATGTTAATATTTTTTAACCTTTCTGATTTTTCTACCGTCTTTGTATTTTACTTTTTAAATCTTCTGAATTTTTATCACATTCTATTTTAGGTAACGTTAAAGATTATGAGTTTTAAACAATAAAAGGTTTCTATATTCTAATTTTCTTATTAGTCATACTGTTATTAAACATACAAAACTACCGTGTTTAATGATATAGTAAATACTTCTGGAGTAATACTCTACTGAATGTAGAAACAAGAAATTACAATCAAAAGTTGTTGTAAAATTTAATACAAATGTAACTTACGAAATCAATTTTTAATCTTTACCTGTGATGGGTTGTGGATCGTCAGGGCAATGTTCATGGATCGAGATTGACGTTTTCTTAAAAGAACCAGCTGAGTTTAGTTGTAACCACTTGTTTAATTTTTCTTTCGTGTATCTCTAGATGAAAAATTCACAGTATTTTGAATAATACGTTCTATCTTTGTAAATCATTCGATATTAGAATCCATTCCTTCGAAATCTTCCTGACTCGCTTTTTCTTCAGCCACACTTAGTACATGCAGTTCAACCAAAGTTATTGGCTAATTTAATAATTACTTATACAATCTCTTCCAGGTCCTCTCCTTTCTCACGTTCTTCAACTGCATTATTCATACGAGATTCTAGACACTTTTTTAAAATTCTTATTATTGAATTCTTCGGTACACACCTTCATGCGATCGAAATATTCTTGATACAGTAAAACATGTGCTGCTGCTGCTGAAAGTATCTCAAAAATAAATCAGCATTAGAGTCTATGACTTCGATGGCTTGTGTTAATATTATTCTAAGGTAGTAAGCTCTGAATGCAGAAATAGCAACCTGATCCACGGGTTGAATGGGAAAGGTTGTGTAAGAAGCATAAAAATTACTCTCCGAAATATTGTAAGGAAAGTCGTCTAGTTGAGCAGAGTGGCCAGAGGCATTTCTCATAATTAATAAAATTTTGAAATGTATAGGTTTCGCCACACGATATTTACCAGCCTGAGAAATGAAGCAGTTCATGAACCTGTCTTCGAAAAGTACTTCAAAAATTCTTAAGAAAAGTACACGCCGGTTCTATATGTCTTTTAACTGTGCGATGGTATCCTAATATCAACGTCATGTGCCTGCATTTAATTATTTTATGAATGCCTAGTATGTCTACGAACATCAGTGAGGTAAGTTGTCGGCGAACACATTAGTATATAGGAAATCGCGCCACTATTCTCTTTGCTACATCTACTACAAATAGTAAATAAAACTTAAATGTTTTGAGTGAAAATATTGTACAGTAGACTAAGTTTGAACTCAAGATTTTGTACTAATTACATACTGGCAAACATAGGATGATGTGAAAGTAGCAATGCAATCAATTTTCAGATTTTTTTAAAAGCAATGTAGAGGAATGCCAATTTACAACTGACAAACTGATGAATGAGATTGAAGGTGACTTTAAAAAGGATGGCTTCTTGAAATTAGGCGATGATGCATTAGTAACAGTTTATATGGCTTATATTGTATGTTTGAAGTCTACAAGTCAGAAGATTATTACGGATTCATGGAAAAGGATGCAAAAGGATGAGGATAGGCTAAGAATTGTTAAAACAGCAGCTGTTATTATCTCTGGTGTACGACATGACACGGTGCACTCCAGAAGGCAGATATTTGGAAAGTGTTCAGGACCTCATTTCACAGTCTCTTCAAGTTTTTATAGATGCTGTAGTGATGAGTAAGAAGAAAGGAAATATTTACAACTGGAGGGAATAAATCACTTTCAATAATCTTTTTGTAAACTTCTTGTAGCCTTCCTTGTAACCTTCTTAAAACCATAAATAAATTACCAGTTGGTAGCCCTTGGAGCTTGACAATTAATGTGCGGTCTTTGAAATCCAGCTTTGTCTATGAAGATTTTTTGGTGCCCCACCTGACCTGTATAATGGGCAATTTAGCATGGTTTATATGACTTTATTGATCAGTGGAGCTTTAGCAATCTGCTTGGTACGAAATTAGTTTCAGCATGCAGATATTTGCACCTGTTAGTTTTTAGAGTGTGATGTTTCATTTCTTACATGCAATTTGAGTTACTGGCTTGACTGTCTTTCTTTTCCCATTATCTGTTTTTCATTCCCTGACAATGTTATGTTTTCTTTTAATATTTGGTTATCATTTGCTATATCATTCATCTCATAAAACTCATTGATTTAAGCAATGTTATACATGAAAGCTCCCACTGGACGCATTCTAATAATCGTATCTTTATCAAATCACTAATAAAGATTTTTTGGTGCCCCACCTGACCTGTATAATGGGCAATTTAGCATGGTTTATATTACTTTATTGATCAGTGGAGCTTTAGCAATCTGCTTGGTACGAAATTAGTTTCAGCATGCAGATATTTGCACCTGTTAGTTTTTAGAGTGTGATGTTTCATTTCTTACATGCAATTTGAGTTACTGGCTTGACTGTCTTTCTTTTCCCATTATCTGTTTTTCATTCCCTGACAATGTTATGTTTTCTTTTAATATTTGGTTATCATTTGCTATATCATTCATCTCATAAAACTCATTGATTTAAGCAATGTTATACATGAAAGCTCCCACTGGACGCATTCTAATAATCGTATCTTTATCAAATCACTAATAAAGATAGGAGGCCGTTTAGGTTTATTTTGATTATGGGAAAGGGTGCGAGGAGGATGTGCCGAAAGGTAGAAATACTTTTTACTGGAGGATTTGGAAAACTTACTCGTATCTATGCTACACATTATGAAAATCACGAAAACGCTCATGCAATCAACCCATTCGCTTGGAATCGAAACGCAGGTCGAACTACTAGTATTCAGCGACTTACCCGTTGGTGGCCTTAATTTTCTTAGTACTGGGTGAAGATACAAGGAAGGATTGGACTTACTTCATTCTGTCTGTACCAAGATCCACCCTCTTGAGCTTCAGGCTCCTGGGAGCGCGTGACGACAAGAACCACAGCATACGCGCTGGAAGCCAGGAGTATAAAGACTGCAAAATTAGCGGCTACACGAACTGCTATTAACTTCCAACTGCAAAAGAATAAAAAAAATCTTTCAAAATAACTGATAGCTTTTTTTTGGGGATCAGTAACAGAGCAACGGATAGTAAAGAACTTTCCATAGAAAGACATATGCCACTATTTTGCTTCTATTATGGTCGACATTAAATCAAACGTATTATCCTCCCTTTTTATTTTATGCTTCAGTTTACCAAGTAAGTATGGTAAATAAAAATTTTTTCAATATATCATTCTAAATAGTTCTTAGGTTCTGAAGTAACTAACTTAAGAGCTCTACTTTTTTATGTTTAGAAAGCCTTTATCACAGTCCATACGAGCTGATAATGCATGTATGCTTTCTTGAAGAAATATCATATATATCGCTACAAAGAAAATTGTATGGCACATGTTGTCATTTAATAGATCTTTTTGTACAGGCAAGGAAGGTCCTGGATTCTCAATTTTTCTCAAAAAATATAGAATAATCTCAGTTACACGCGTATATAACTAAAAAGATCAGCTGCTAATTTTCTAAATCCAATTTAATGTTAAAACTTTCTGTTCACACTGTTTTAGATATTAAGACATGCGCAACAAAATTACTACTAACATGCAGTTTTAGAGGTTATTAAAGCATACCACTTTAAGCGATTTACCGCGGTTGCTCCAAACATTTATAAGGCCTTTTAATTAAACACGGATGAAACGAAAAAAAAAAAAAAAAAAAAAGAGTATTTAATATTATCTTAGATTTACAAGATGCTTAAAACTTAAGAGCTACTAATGCTTAAAAAAATCGTATAAAATATTAATCGTAGGCAAAGAAATGTTTTAAATAAAACCTTGAAAATAGACGCCGTTTTAAACCTCTAGACTGGACTGTAACTACAATAAATCAAGTTTAACAGCAGTTATAAGACTGATTTAACTAGACCGAAATACAGTGCTGATAAATAAAAATACAAACTCAAACATTCAATGCTAGAAACTATAGTTGCTAATTTACACATCTTTTGAGTGAGCAGCTGATGAGAAGAAAGAGTGATAGTTTTAATTAGCTAAAAAGCTAACAAAAAAACTTATTCTCTTACCTTTTAACTTCTTTCTTTTTTTCTTTTTCTTCCAATATGGCTTCCTAGTCAAAGATAAAAAAAAGTACTCAATACTGGGTTATTTATTGTTTCCCTGAATAGCTATTTTTTAAGCGAATACAAATTTAATTCTTTTATAGATTTATTTCGTTGTCCTACTGAAATTCAACTTTTTAACAACTTATCTTACACACGCATATTACATAATTTCATGCATATTTCTTAAATTCTAATCTATCGCTTCTCATTTATGTCTCGGAGAAAGCAGGTCAAAGGAAGCATACTATTTATAAAAAAAAAAAAAAAATACAACTGAAACGATATTTCAGAAACTATGATCTAGAAAATATAGATAAGCGGTTGGCCCTTTTGTGTAATTGTATAGTCATCAGGTTTTTTTTTTTTTTTAAGTAGGAGATGTGAAAATGTGCAATGCCCTCACCGGGACTCGAACCATGGACCTCTCAAATACGCGTATGCTTCCAATTAAACCACGGATACGCGAAGAAAGGAGAAAATACCTTACATACTCCCCCTTTTAAAGGGCGAGTGGGGATTAGGGGGACGCAATCGCCAAATCCTGATGGTAACGAATTATTATCCGCCATTTTTAGTTCGGGTGCAAGTGCAGAGTAATAGGACGTTTTTGAAGCAGGAGTACATGAAAAATGAGCAGTGGCTTCGGGTTGGGCACCACTTGTAGAATCATTATATATATATATATATATATGTACACTGGTGTGCAAAAATTAAGGACGAAGTCGAAAATTAGTACAAAGAAGAGCAAGCGAAAAACCAACAGAGATTTAATGTTGTGCAGATATGAGTAGGTAGGGGGGGTAGAGTGAAAAGTTTCGTATCAGGTTCAATGTTTCTTCTAACCTTCTTCGGAAACATACAATGACCTGACTAGAACAGAGAGCTTACTAAAGCTATGTTCACTAATTGTAGTAAGTAGACAGGATACAGACGAAGGGTATACAAAACCCTTTATTTTTTCTTTATATACAATGACTTCCGTACTTCGGAATACAATGACCCTCCACTCGGGGTCTAACTTAAAAGATATCAAAATAAAACTAAACTCTAATTTAACTTTAGAATAAGATTGGCCTTATAATAACAGGAAAGCGTATGTAGCACAGAGACTGTGAACACTACAATACGTTTAATTTATCAAGAGGATTAAAACCTCTGGCCTGGAAGGCAAAGTAGCAACTGCGTAACTTCTAAGGTAAGCGGCCTGCTTCGAACTCACGGCTTCCTCTCTTCTGCTTGGCAAAAAGGCCACACTTAAATACTTGGCGTTCGCCAGACAAACTTTGCATAAACTCCTTCACGCTTATAATTCTGGCCGGAAGTAGAAAATAAGAAGTGATAGTAAAGATTTAAAATAAAATAAACGTTAGTAAAACTTAAGATCCTTACATACTTCCCGCCAGAGTTAATTAGTTTGAAACTGAGGTCTAAAACGACCTTGTTGAAAACTTTTAGCTCTAGAAACTAACGCGAGGCCAATCTTTTACAAACATTAACTTAGCTAGAAACTAGAAAATTTTAAAAGAAAGAAATTTGTTACAATAGCAGCTCCCGGAATATACAACAATCTTTTTTCTTTTTCATCTGTACTGCATCTAAACAGGAGCTTTTATTCAATTCTGGTTCCTTCCAGAGATCTGGAAGGAAAACTAGTTTAATGAAATGTTACACAATGACATGGCAAATAACATATAGAATATACTTTTCTTAACATTCTTATTTCATTCATGACTATTTTAATTATCTCTCCCCGTGCTCTCTGACATGTGTTGTAAAAAACACCAAACACGAATGTGTTTCTGTCTATGTGTTCAACACTTCCTCCTACAATCAAAACACTAACGTGTTAAAATTCAACATAACGAGACCTCTTAACACACCCTAATTTCAACTCTAAACCCTGAGGTACTATTCTGAAAGTGGCTAACTCTGAAGTGTAGCGTCAGAGAGCCTAACTACATTCATTCAACCTTTAACACATATTCACCATGATTTAATCTTTTACAGTCACACGAATAACAAATTTTTTTAACATTACTTTCACTTTTACCATATCACGGTATTTCTTAAACATTCAAAATAACAGTTCACATGTATATAAGAACATATTCAACATGCCGTTAATTTTACACATTTGAAAACATACATTAGTAGTACATTGTTAACTTCTATTCTTTTCAAAGCAAGTGCCAATTCTTTCTACATTGAAATAATACTACATTTCAAAAAGTCTTTCAGACTAAAACTTCTTTCTTGCCAGAATGTTTTAAATAAAATTTATACAATAACTTTTTACATATTTTAAGTCTTTATACAACGCTATTATACATCAACTTTAGTTTTTACGCGCGAGTAATTGAAAAACATAATAAGAAAATCGGTCACAACTCATTTCTCGCCCTTTTGGCGATAAAGGTAGACCTCGCATGAGGTAAAACTTCTTGAAATCTGCCACTTGCAGTAAGAATGAAAGATTAACTTAAGTTTGCAAAGTAACATAAAATTTTACTTATCTTTGTAATATTCAGACATCCTTTTCTGGGCCCAGTCTTTAAAGGTGCTGCAGACCGTAGCTTGGTTGATCCTCCTTCTTGTACGGGCTCGCCCTTCAGTGCTTTCCTCTGGAAGCTTCCGTTTTTTCACCAGTTACGGCCACCCTTGAACATCTTCCTTCTGTCCTCTGCTTGTGGTCTTGGCCGTTTGAAGGCAGCTGGTCTTGGTGGAACCGGGAAACTTCTGTCGTGATCCTGCTTGGACCTCGTTGTTGGCCGTTCAAATTTTTCTTGTACTTTTTCCTCCGCCGCTGATGGCCCTTCCGCAGTTCGGCGACTTTTGCTGCGGAGAGTTCTGTCGGATGAGTCAGATCTTCCGTTTCACAGCCGGGTTATAGTTGCCGTCCTTTCTCCCGGTCTTTTTCCACATACGTCGTCCTTCTCCCTTCTTCATTCTGGGGGTGTTCGTGAACTCTGTTTTCTGGACGGTGGAACGGCTTCTTTTTCTTTGTACCTTCAATTTTTTCCGCGGGGCAATTTTCTTTTCACTTGCTCTCTGTCTCTCATTGGCTTGCCCTTGTACTTGTCGTTTTCCCACCTCTGGAACTTGTACCTGCGGTGTCTGCCGTACCGGATCCTGCAAAAGATCTGAAAAGATTTGCATTTTATTACGGTCATAGAATGGTTTTATCTGGTCAATGTTTGCGGAACAGGTTTCACCATTTCTTGCCTTTAACACTACAACAGCGTGAGTTATTTTTTCTATGACATATGGTCCTTCAAATCGTGGAAAAAATTTGGCAGTTTTTATCTTCTGGTGCTGAAGAAAGTGAATGCTTAATTTTTAAGTACTTCATCCCCTACTTTATAAGTTACTCCCCGTCGTTTCAAGTCATAATACAATTTTTGTTTTCTTTGTGCTACTTCCGTATTCTTTTTTGCTTCTTTTATTAGTTTTTCTATATCACCCATTTTAAATTCTGGGGCTCTTTGTTGCACATAAAATAATTTATCTAACGGTGTTATAATCTTTCTGCCTAGAAATAACTCAGCAGGAGTTTTGCCCGTTGTATCATGTTTTGCGGTCCTAAGGGCGAAAGCAAATTCATTGACATAGTTATCCCAGCTTTTATGAAAATTTTTAACATAACTACGGATAATTTTCACTATATTTCTGTTGACCCGTTCCGCTATATTTGATTGCGGCCGATACGGGACCATTTTTAAATGACGTATGCCCAGTTTTTGGCACATGTCTTCAAATATATTACTTACAAATTGAGGACCATTATCCGATATAACTTTTAGGGGCGCCCCGTATTTTAAAATATATTTATTTAAAATAGAATCGGTAACTAATTTCGCGGAGGCTCGTTTTAAGGGAACAATTTCGGTCCATTTACTAAAATGATCAACTATAACAAGGAGATAGCGACTTTTGTTTAACTGACTTTTTGGGAAAGGGCCCAATAAATCGATGCCGATTATTTCATTTGGAAATTCGGATTTAATACTATTTAGAAACCCGGCCGGGCGGAAATTAATATAATTAACGGCTTGACATGTTGGGCAGGACTGGACATACGCCCTTGTTAACTTTTGCAGTTCAGGAAAGTAGACTGCCTCGCGTACGCGTTGAGTAGTTTTTCGAATACCAGCATGAGAAGCTAAAGGGCTGTCATGGAGCTCCTTGCAGGATATTTAATCTAAGACTAGCTGGGATAACAGGTCGAAATTCGTTGTTGGAATTCGTAGTTTTTGTATAAAATAATAGACCATCTATTAGTTCGTAATGGGCCGCCCTATTTCTTATCGCCACAATATCTTGGTGGCTAAAATTTTCAGGATCCTTCAAATACTCATAAATACTTCCAAACTCAGGATCCTTACCCAGTTCGGTTATTACAGTTTCTCGGGAATTTATTGTACACGCTGTCAGCATTGCAACTTTTACGGTATTACCCTGTTCGTCTAATTTAATTCGTGATAGGGCATCTGCTACGATATTTTCCTTTCCGGGGGTATGCTTGATTACCAGATTATATTCTTGCAGCTTGAGTGCCCATCTTATTAACCTTGGGGATAAATTTTTTCCAGAGTACAATCTAGTTACCGCCGCATGATCAGAATATACTGTTATCGGCGCCTTTCCAAAATAGACTCGGAACTTTTGCACTGCTAACAGAACTGCAAGTGCCTCTCTCTCGGTCGCGGAATAGTTTCTTTGTGTTTGATTTAAAGTTCGGCTAAAAAATGCCTACTGGCTGCTGATTTTGCGAAAGTACCGCTCCTACCGCATAATCCGAAGCATCCGCTGAAATTTCTAAATTTTCATCCTTTTCAGGAAATTTCAACACAGGGGCTTGCGTTAATGCTTGTTTTAATTTTTCGAAAGCACTATTGGCTTCGGCCGTCCACGAGAATCTTGCCTTTTTCCTTTTTAATTTTAACAATGGCTCAGCGATAGCCGCAAAATCTTTTATAAAGGACCTATAATATGAACAAAGTCCTAG